TCTCTTGGTACTCAAAATCTCATCCTCTCTTTCTTTCTCATCAAGCCACCGAACGACTGTCTCTTTCGTAAGTATTTTTCTCACTTTGTTTGCTTTTTGTTTCATCTTGCATATGTAGATCTCTGGTACTGTTTATTGCTGCTTGCATTTTCTTTGGAGATAGTTAGAGTGTTTATGTTAATTTTAATTTTTATTTTCTTCAATTTCTGAGGGTGTTACGAGTGTTTAATATGCTGAAATCAATGAATTGGTACAAATTGACTGCACTTATAGTCTTTTTCTGCAATTTCTGGGTGTTTGAATAGATTCTTATTGAGTATTAATTGGTGGGTACCATTTTTAGTTGTTGTACATGTTTAGTTCAGTCATTGCTTTTATAGAAGTTGTTGTTTGGCTGTTAACATTGTGGTGTTGATCTCAGTACATGAGGTGGGTATACTGGGGTTTCGTTTTAATGATGTTATGTTTGCTGCTTGCATTCTCCCTGATAGAGTTAAAAACATTGGAAGAACAGAGTCAATAACTCAATGTTCTATCTTTTGGCTTTTACCACTTGCGATGGATTAGTGGAAAAATTGCTTTAGAGGAGATATTTCCCAAAGTTCAAAAATTTTTTGTTGAATTTTTTTCCTGACTGAATGATTAAATAAAAAAATCATACTACACTACACTACAATCCCATCTTCTGATCACATTCACCTTGCATCTTTGCAATAGTGTTTTTTTTTTTTTTAATCTAGTTATCATGATATTGGTTTACCTTGTTTTTTCAGATTTTCAGATCTATTTCTTGTTTTATTGAGCTGGTCTTTTCTGAAATTTGTAGTTGTGGAGAAAGATGTAGATGGTGATGCATGTGCAGGAACTACAGTTGGATTTCTATGTAGAATTCTGCTTGTTTAAAAGGTTTTTATAGAGGAGAAAGTGTTTCAACAACTAAAGGAACCTTCTTTTCATAAGATTAATTACCATTTTTTCTTTATTAAGTTCCAATTCCTTTTTGTATTCTTCATGAAGATGATGTACTAGGATCTGTGCATATTGTCTCTCCTTTCTTTCTTTGTGTTTATGTGAGTGAGACAATATCAGTTCTGACTGTTGTATGTATTTGTGTAATGCATATAATCACTCTCACTTTGTGTAATGTTTATGTCTTATTAAAGTTTAATTTGTTCCTATTTCAGAACTATGAGCAATACCGACAATTCGTCAGTCCCTATGGATGATGAAAGTGAGGTTGGAAACGAGAATGCAACAACCAAATCAACCAAGGTTGGTGACAAGAGGAAGTCTGAATACTGGAACCATTTTTGGGATTTTAGAGATCCAGTAACCAAAAAAATTGTTCAAGTCAAATGCAAATATTGTGAGAAAATGCTAACAGGTAATACTAATAATGGAACTTCTTCATTAAAGAAACACCTTGGTGCATGTTCAAAATACCCTCCAAATGTAGACAAAAAGCAAAAACTCATTTCTGTCTACAAGTCTCCTGAATCTGATGCTACTATAGTCTCTAATTGGAAATTTGATGAAACTGCTTGTAGACTTGGTTTGGCAAGAATGGTTATTGTTGATGAACAACCATTTTCTATTGTTGAGCGTGAAGGTTTTAGGTATTTTTGTAGTGTTGCTGTACCTCAATTTCATATACCTTCACGTTTTACAGTTGCAAGAGATGTGAAGAATATATTTGTTTGTGAAAGTGGAAAATTAAAGAAATTAATTGGGTGTTTGAAATCGAGAGTGTCACTAACAACTGATTGTTGGACCTCCATTCAAAATTTTAATTATCTTTGTTTGACTGCTCATTTTATTGATGATAATTGGAAGTTGCATAAAAGAATTTTAAATTTTCAATTAATGGATAGTCATAAAGGTAAGGAAATTGGAAAAGTTGTGGAGGCATGTATTCTTAAATGGGAGATTGAGGATCGATTGTTTTCTTTAACTGTTGATAATGCTAGTTCAAATGATGTGGCGGTTGGATATTTGAAAACACATTTTCATGATAAACTTGTTTTGGAGGGTTCATTTTTTCATATGAGATGTGCTTGTCATGTTCTAAATTTGATTGTGAAAGATGGTTTATCTAGTGTGAAGTCTTCGATTGCTCGAATTCGTGCTGCTGTTAGATATGTGAGGAGTTCACCTTCTAGAGCTAAATTGTTTGCACACTCTTCTATGTTGGTTAAAGTTTCTTGTAAAGGTTCAGTTTGTCTTGATGTGGCAACTAGATGGAATTCTACCTTTCTCATGCTTGAAACCGCATTGAAATTTGAAAAAGCTTTTAATAGGTTTGCGGAAGATGATCCTGATTTTAGTAGGGAACTCAAGGATGGAGTACCTACACAAGAAGATTGGGTAAATGCTAAAGTGTTGTCTTTGTGTTTGAAATTATTTTATGAGTCTACAAAGAAAATGTCGGGTAGTTTATATGTTACTACAAACTTGTATTTTCACGAGGTTTTGGAGGTGTTAAGTTGTTTGATAGAATGGGAAAACTCTACAAATATGGATATTCGTATTATGGGTAGACAAATGAGGGAAAAGTTTGATAAGTATTATGGGGATCTCGGTAAAACTAATATCATGATGTTAGTTGCGGTTGTTTTAGATCCTCGATATAAGCTTAGGTTTTTGAAGTATTCTTTTAAAAAACTTTATCCTAACAACTTTGCCAAAGTCGATGTTATTTGTGACAATTTGTATGACAATGTTCAAAAGTTATTTAACCATTATGATGCTATTATTGCTTCTTCCTCTTTCAAGAATAATCGTAATATTAATGTTGCCAATGTGGATAATGGTTCTGAAAACTTGAGCTCTTCAAATAGTGAGCAAATGAAAAAGTTTTATGATGATTTTGATGAGGAAGAAAGTGATTTTATTGTTGAAAAAAGTGAATTGGATTATTATCTTGAAGAAGCTCGGGAGAGAAGGGTTGAAGGGGAAATGTTTGATATTTTGGGTTGGTGGAAAGAAAAAAGTGACAAATACAAAGTATTGTCAACATTGGCTAAGGACATTTTGGCTATACCAATTTCTACGGTTTCTAGTGAATCCGCATTTAGTACATCGGGTCGCATACTTGATCAATTTCGTAGTAGTTTGGGGCCAAATATGGTGGAAGCTTTAGTTTGTACTCAAGATTGGTTAAGGGCGTCAAATGTATGCATTGATATTGAGCGCTTCCTTGAGGATGTTCAAAAATATGAAGAAGGTAATACACTAATACTTCTATTATTTTGTATATTTATCTATTTTATTTCTCTAAGTTTATTACTTATATTGTTTACTGTTTTTTTTAGAATTGGATGGTAGTGACACTGGCATCACACAAGTTAATGAATTTGTTGGAAATAATTGATGTGACAAAGGTTTGTATAATTGTATTCTTAATTATATTGTATGAAAAGATATCAAATGACAAATATTCTAAGGACATTTTGGCTTTTGTTTATAGGGAATTTGTGCTTCCTTGTTGGCTGCTGCCTCTTTGCTTTGTTGTCTGCTGTATGCTGTCTTTCTCCGTTGCTTAGATGGTTGCTGACTTGCTGCTGGTCTTGTTGCTGGCTGATGGTGTGCTCAGCTGCTGCCTGCTGATGGTGTGCTCAGCTGCTGCCTGTTGCTGCCCTTCCTTTTCTTCCCTTTTTTTTTCTGAACTTTTATTTAAGTAGTTGTTTTGGTTATGTTTGGATGTTTGGACTTTGCAGCATTGTTGAAGTTTGTTGTACTGATATTTTAGGTTGTTGAATTGGTACTTTTTGGCTTATTAGTTTGTAATATTTGTATTTTGAAATATTTGTATTTTGCTAGCCTCCAAAACTAATTTAGGGATATTATTATGTTAATATAACTAGCCTGCAAAATTCCATTATATATAATAATATATTATATAACAATTATAAAGAAAAAAACAGTATGTTACTACGTTGAATAATACCGGGTACCCGGTTTTGGAACCGGTTCCTACCGGGTCCGGGACCAGTTCCAAAAAATTTGGATCCGGTATTAACCGGTTCCGGGACCAGTTCCAATTCTTGGGACCCGGTTATAACCGGTTCCGGATCCGGGTATTACAAATATGACCGGGTACCCGGTCTTGCTCACCCCTAATCATGTATGTCCTCCTGTCATATAATAAGTGACCAAGTTCATCGAGTCAAAATATAAGAGGACCTTTGAGAGGCCCATTATATAGCACCATTCAAGACCTCAAGACACGCTTGAGCCTCTGTATGCAAGGCCGAGGTTGCTAGCCAAAAGCTAGCTCCTGCATCAAAAAAGTCCCCTTCATTCACCTTTCAGACCATCCAAAACCGCATCTTCCGTTTGTTTTCTCCCAGGAGCCATCGATTGTAGAGTGCAATTTGACAAGCCTCTATTAGAACTAAAAACGAAGTCATAAGAATAAAAAAAAGGTGCTTTTTTAATTTTTTTTTAAACTTATCTTGGGGGGGGGGGAGAAAGTCGTTTAGAAACATTGGTATTATTACACTTCGTATATGTTTATGTGAACCATGTGGTGGAGGTAAGATGGGATAAAATGAAAATTTTCTTGACTATTGTATAAAGAAATAAAGTAAATGTAGTAATAAGATAATATTAAAAAAAAAATAGCATATCAAAATGAAAAGTAGAATAAAAATAAATAATAATAATAAGAAAAAAAAAAGAGAACAGAGGGAATATTCTGTAAGACAAGAGTAACTATTTCTATTTAAAAAGTGATTTGATAATTTTAAAAATATTCCTTTTAATACGTGTTTTCCTTGGGCTAGTAAAAAAATGGAGTAACCTCTATAACATTGATAGAGTAATTCTTATTATGCTGACAAAGTACACTGCTAGAAATAGGTCGTTTTCCGACGGAATTGTTCTGACAGACAAAATTTCCGACGGAATTTGGGTCTGTCAGAAAATTCCATTGGAAAAGGTATGTTGCAACGGAAAATCCGTCGGAATTTTTTCGACGGATTTTTTTTCCCTCGGAAATGTACTGCTTCCGACGGAATATTCCATTGGAAAATTTTTTCCCTGAGGGAAATAATTCCGTCAGAACTAATAATAAAATAAAAAAAAAAAGTCAAAGCTCCTTCTTTGCCCAGATTCAGAAACACGAAGAGAGAGAAAGAGAAAGAGAGAAGTGGAGATCCTGCCGGCGACTGCCGTTCCACCGACCACCACCGAGCCGCCTCAACTACGCCGCCGCCATTGGTAAGTGTATTTATTTTATTTTTTTTTAAATCAAACTTTTTCGGCAAAACCCTAACTACCACCATGTCAACAGCCACCACGGGTTTCACCACAACCACCAGCCGTGAAGCCTCCATCCCCTGCTGTTCCAATACTGCCGTCTAGTAAGTTTCTTTGCCATTTTCTTTTTTTTTCGTGAAACTCTAACCACCACCATGTCAACAGCCACCGGATTTCACCACTATCACCAGCCGTCTTTGAATTTGTTATTCTCCTTCTTTGAATTTGCTTGTTATTGTAAAATAGACAATGGACTTGGTCTTTTAATAAATCATTACTTTTAATAAAATTTCAAATAAACTACTTGCTATCTGAATAATCGTTTTGTATGCTTAAACAGAACAATTTCTTCGATGGTATTTATGTGGGATTGCCTTAGTGATGTAAGATAAAGTGGCTCTCTCTATGCAAACCTGTGGTGAAAGTTCATTGACTTTATATGCATAGGAAATAATTCGCTCCGTAACGGGGTTGGAATTTTGACTCATTTGTGTAAGAAAATTAGTGAATTAACTAAGTCAAATTGATTAATTATTTAGTGAATTTGAACGAGGTTGGCTTGAAAATTGGATGAGTAGGATGACCATGAATTAACCGGTGCTGATTGGTGGGAAAAGAGATGCCGTATTGGCGGTGCTGTGTGGTGGAGAAGATGTTGTTGGCACTTAAAGTGTTTGAAGGGGTTGCTGTGATTGTTTGGATAGTCAATGGGTGGGCTTGTTAAAATTTTAGAATTATTGTTATTTTTAGGGATTTCTTGATTGAATTAGATGTTGATTCTCCTATATTTGAGCATGATTTAATTTTATAAAATTCTGATAGCTGAATTTCAGGTATACTATGATAGCTGAAATTCTGATAGCTGAATTTCAGGTCTTGATTTTTTAGGGAATTGTTGTTAATCACGTTTTGTCAGGAATTTAAAATTGCATTGTTTGAGTTGAGATGAAGATAAATTATGATTGTGCTGCTTCTTAATAACTTTGTGTTGATTTCATTTGCTAATGAGGGGCTGCTAGGATTGTTTGGACAGTCAATAGGGGGGTTGTTGCTCTAAAGGTGCACCTTGAGCAACCCAATGCTTGGAATGACATTGTTCTATTAGCACTCATGTACACCTAAAACTTACTACTGGAATGACATTCTTAATATGCTGTCATGTTATTAACAACTATTTCAGGTGATCATGGCAGGCGGTACAGACAAAGGTTAACGGACAATGGAGCTCGACTCCTCCGATGAGGACATGGCGGATGCGGATGCACATGATTTAGGTGCTACTTAGGAGCCCACTTCCAGCTCATCACGAGATCAGACACAGGAGCATTCACAATTGCCGGTATTAGACCCTACTATGCTCTGGTACGTACATACATTCAATGAATTGGTTTTATATTCTTAATTTTGAGAAATTAACCTATTTATTACCTGTAACAAGTTTTATATTACTTTTTTGTTGTTGATCATCTAACTTTGTGGTTTCGTCTTTAAATGTAGGTTTGACGACAACAAGGTGAGGAATGCGGTCTCCGGGACGCTAATCGGGTACTATCGAGAGCCTTGGAGGAATTACGGAGAGGTGGATGAACACTGGTGGAACTTATTCAGCGTAAGCTATTTTAAACTTAATTAACACATGTTTTATGAAAAGTATGAGATGAAGTTGAGTATATGACTTATAAAGTTTATCATTTGCAGAAAGAATTCACATAGACACCTCAATTGATCGAGGATGTGAAGCACACTTTTGAAAAGAAGTTTGCTACTCGGCTACGTGACATGTTCTACACAGTCACGCACAAGATGAGAGGCGCCAAGCCAGGCTGGTTCAATGAGGACGTCCACAAGAAAATGATGGATATTGTTGCCACTGATCCAACTTACAAGAAGAGGTCGGCCCAAAACAAGAAGAACAGGAGGGGCGGCTTAATGGAAAATGCGGTTGAAGCTACCCACTATCAGGGTTCGATGTCAGCTGTACAACATGCTAAACGGGTGGTAAGTTTGTTGAATAGGCAGATAAAATAGAAGAGAATTGTGTATTACTATGTACAGGTGCTCTAACATTTAAAGTTTATCATTTTCTGCATGTATAATCAAAGGCGGCGAAGAATAAAGGCCAGCTCCCAACAGCCCATGAGCTGTTTCTGAAGATGCACTTCAAGGAAGTGCCTTGGAAAGGCACAGTACCAGCCAACACCAAAGCACATCATATTGCGGTAATAACTTCAATAACACTTAGGATTTGAATTTATTTATAGATTTCATGAATTACTTTCCAAATCGTTCCCAAAACTTAGGGAGTTGGTTTTTTTTGTGATTTCAAGGCATGTACACCTAAAACTACCTACAATAGACATGTTATGAGAAATAAATGGTTCATTTGGTAAGAAATGTAAAAAAAATAGGCAAAGAATAGGTCATATAGGCATCAGTTGGTCCTATTTTGGTCCAAATCGTTCCCAAAACTTAGTTAGTTGGTTGTTTTTGTGATTTCAAGGCATGTACATCTAAAACTACCTATAATAGACATGTTATGAGAAAGAAATGGTTCGTTTGGTAAGAAATGTAGATAATGGGCAAAGAATAGGTCATATAGGCCTTACTTGGTTCTATTTTGTTCAGAAAGCTGATTTTAACTTACATCTGTGTGCACCTTTTCATATGTGTATATTGTAGGAGGCCTACCAGAAGAAAGTTGAAAAAGCAAGCACCAAAGGGATTCGGAAGAGTCCAAATGAGTTGTACCGGGAAACTGTAGGTGGTCGCAATAAGAAGGGTCGTGTGAAGGGGCTTGGCAAGGTGCAGAGCTATATTATGGCAACAGGAAGGGTTCAGGTTCCAAGTCTTCCCACCAGTACATGCCTTCCTTTCTTTCCCAGATGCAGGATCAGGTGAAACAGAGGGTGGAGCAGAGGGTGGAGAAGAGGGTGCAAGCTTTGCGGAGTGAAATGGAAGTCGAGATGGAGGCTCGATTGGCCGAAAAAGAAAGGAGAAACCAAGAGAGGTATGAAGAGATGATGCGTCGATTCTCCAGCAACGACCCATGTTCCAACATTCCACATCAGCGTCGAGACCCCACGAACGACTCGGGTAGCGGCGGTGCAGGGCAAGGTACTCCGGATGTAGCTTAGAATTTGTTTATATAGTATGTACATATATTTAGATTTAGATTATGTTGTATAGTTGCACACAATGTATACATTATTATAAATAAATATATAAAAATATTTTTGTAATTAAATCATAACTTCAAATTTATCTTAAATTAGGTGCAGGATATATAGGTGACGAAATCCAAATTAAATCGTTTAATTTGCTAAAAAAACAGGACTAATTCCAACGGAAAAATCCGTCGGAAGATCTTACTTTTCGACAGAATTATTCATCGGAATTTTCACCTCTTGCGACGGAATTATTCGTCGAAATTTTCCCACTTCCGACGAAAAATTCCGTTGAAAAATGACATGTTCCGACGGAAATTTCCATCGGAAGTAGAGACGGAATTTTCCGTCGGAAGTGGGAAGATTCCGACGAATAATTTCGTCGGAACATGTCCTTTTCCGACGGAAAAATTTTCGTCGGAAAATTGCGACGGACTCTCGTTTAAAGTCAAAACCAGCTATATTCTGTCGGAATAGTGGCTTCCGACGGAATTTCCCTCGGAAAACGTCGGATTTCCTACGAAGGGTATTGCGACAGACTGCTTCCAACGGAATTCCGTCGGAACGCTGTTTTCCGACAGATTTTTCGATGTTTCCGACGGAAAAATTCCGTCGGAAACAAGCTGTTTTCTTGTAGTGGTAACTCTTTATTATACTTATTTGATCATTTACTTTTTTTATGAGCTCTAAATTTTTTTAATATGTGATGTATTATTTGTTTCGGAAATTTTTATTGTTTCTAATTTTTTCAAAAATTTTATTTGTTCAATCGTGCATCGCACGAGACTAATCTAGTCATAAAATAATAAAATTAATTGATAATGAGAGATAGAATCATCAAGACATATCAAAAAAGTTACTAAGTAATACTTAAAAAAAAACGGAGTAATGAAGTAATAATAAGGAGTACATTAGCAATAGGCAAAGTTTTACAACTTTAAAATTAAGGAATATGCTATACATAGCCTTAGGGCTACATATAAGCATTAAATACACACTAGAAAATCGTATAAAGTTAGAAAATCATAAAAATATAAACACTAATTACACTGATTTACGCGTGTTTTTGTCACGAATTCCTAATTTTATGCAATTTTCAAGAGTATATTTAATACTTATATATAGCCATTATAGCTACATATAACATTACCCTAAAAATTAAACATGCAATAAATACATCCTTATAATAAATTACAGTAGTAGATCTTTGTCCTGCAATATTCTTAATTAATAATGTTAATTCTGTTTAAGAAGTCTTGTGTTAATTTCTTAATTTATGGCATGGGTCGGTCGGTTGATGAGAAGTCAACATACTAATTATGTGATTAGTTTACGAGGTAAAGGCACAAGACACAGGGTACAGAACTACAGACTGACCAAATTATTAACACGCACTATTTACATGTACTTTGTAGTTTGTACTTAATTATGAAATTGTTAATCCTACTCCAAAATAATTGTTTTTTGGAATGGTGCATTGATGCTCCAAATATTGAGAAGTTCTTGGAAAATTGTGTGTCATCGTGTATTTGTGTCAGTCTGCTCAATCAAGTTTCATTCAAATTGTTTCCCATAAAAAAAAATAAAAAAAAAAATATACTTACAGTACAATAAAAATTGTCACTCAATTTAAATATTCAAATACTCAAGAACAGGCGAAAACATACACCAGTCGACCAATAACATGCATTGTCGATTACTGATCTGTATTAATTTGCACAAAGTGATAGATTAAGACGTAAGACTTTTTTGCTTTAAATGATAGTTTTGATTCACTCAGCTCATGTCTGCCCTAAATTTAAGGTTATTGATCGTATATGAATCGATGGTTGAGTGAACCACAAGGAAGTGAATAGGGGCAAGGTGAATTATTTTTTTATTTTTTATTTTTTTATTTTTTTTTTTTGCAGTGAAATTTTAGTTATGATATGATTAGGGTTCTATCGTCAAGAGACTAGAGTTGTGATGGTATTAATGTTCCAGTGTCATACTTTACCTTCTATAACAAGTCATAATAAAACACAATACAATAAAAGAATTAAATGTGGGATTAAAATTGTGGAGGGAGAATTTGGTCACAATATGTACTTCATATTAGAAAACAATATACAAAGTAAGTTATAAATCCATGTAATTCATCGGTCAAGTCAATGTATAGTTTTAACAACTACAATATGAGTGATTTACTAGATAGAATAAAAAAAAAATTATTACTTTAATTCCCATCAATCTAATAAGATGTTGAGTCCATGAGCAAAATCACATGTGAGTGAAAGTGTTGTTCACATTAAAAGAGTATAAAAGTGAAGAGGAATATTGGGATGTGTATCCTACATTGAAGAAAATAGAAAGTCGTGTCCACTTTATAAGGCTAAGGGGCTACATACTCCCCTTATTGCCAAATGGTTTTGAGGTGGAACTTCCTTGGTCGTATAAAGTAGACACTTGTGGCAGGTGTGGCCCAGACCCGTTTATCATGGTATCAGAGCCCAGGTTGGGTTGTGTTGTGATCTGGCCAGTATTATGGACAACTCACATGTAAGGGGGAGTGTTGAGCTCATGAGCAAATCCACATGTAAGTGGAATATGGTTTTGAGGTGGAACCTCCTTAGTTATAAAGTGAACACTTATGACGGGTATAGCCCAGGCCTGTTTATCATAAGAATAGAAAATTACCAACCTCGATTAATATGAAATTACTTAAGTTGTGAAGTCAGATTGGGTCAACTTTCGCAAGCTCTAGAGAACAATAATATTTTCATATGATGTTGAAGACCTTGAATGAAAAAAAGTGGGAAGACTTGAAGTCGAGAAGGGCGCAAAGAGAGGCACGTTGTGGACGATAATTACAGGGGCAGGGGCACGGGGATTTTGCGTAAGATTAATAGTTTCCTCAACAACTTGTACTTTGTAGTTGTATTGCATGTGCAAATACACACCCAACTCATCTTCTCATACAAATTTATGTGATATCATACGTATATGCGTCACTTTGTCATAATTAATAATTTACTCGTAATAAATATACGAAGTACAACATTAATACGTACTTTGAGATAAAATAATGTAGTAGGATATATTTTAGGAGTAATTGCAAATTTAGGACTCCGTAATTAATGTTACCACTTACACCATCTTGTAATCAATGATGTAATCATCCAAATAAATATTCAATAATACCATCAAATATGGACCTATTTGGCACTCATGAACGGATTAATGTTGCTACAAATTAAATTTAGTGGAGTATTGTTTATTGTGTTCAAATTGTAAGAGAATTTGAACTAAAATATTATTGAATACAAATAAAAGTATTTGTTTTCCTTATGGCTTGTGAAGAGATCATGACCTAATACATAACACTTTTTCTTAAATTGTTTTTTGATTAAATCTACTTGGTCAGCTTATTAGCATCAGACAATTCAAATAAGTTTTTTTCTTCTTTATTAACATCAGACTATCCAAATATGAAGTAAGTAAAACTCAAAAATAGTTCCAATATATTAATTAAAAATCATTTCAAAAAAGTCTTGATTGATATAAGTTTCGATCGATGTATTCAATAGTTCAGAAAAATGATTTCTATCCAAGACATAAAGGGGGTGTTTGGCAATTGGCTTTTTGCCTAACTTTTGGCTTTTTAGTTTGGTCAAACAACCAAAAAATATGTTTGGTAGTTAGCTATTTTGTTGGCTTTTAAGTAGGCTTTTCCGTCAAAAGCCAAAAGCTAATAGGAGTGGCTTTTTCTATTAGCTTTTGGCTTGTTTGCCCACTTTATCACTAATAAATAGCTAACACCCATTAATAATTTTACCAAACACTTTTGTAAACAGCCGGCTTAAACAGTAAAAAGTCAATCCATACAGCTAATACTATCAGCTAGTCAAACAAGCCAAACAAACAAGCCAACCGCCGATTGCCAAACAACCCCAAAGTGTCAAGAAGCTCGGATCATGAAATTAAAAATAAGTTAATATCACTTAGATTCATGAAAAATATGTATTTTTTAAGTTTAACTCACATCTAAAATCAATATGTAATAAGTTTGTTTAAAAAACATGTAAGTTCAAAATAAGTCAGATAAGCAAAAATCATCAACCGAATAAAACGCACTTTCAATCACCAACGAATTGAATTTATAAAAGTAGCAATTGTCCATATTGGTAGTATTTTGAGTAAGCAATGATAGATAAGGCTCTTTTAGTTTATGTTATATGTGTTCTATTAGAAGATAACAAGTCTTTATCACTTTCACTATTAATGAAGTTATAAGAAAAGAAAGTGAGATGTCAATCTCAATAGTTGTTAGGGCAATGTGCTAACTTATATCACCTTCGATCTTTGCCCCTACGTGTAGGAAATGATGGTCACTTGAACAATATTGAGCTGTTGAATAATAGACATACACTAAGCTAATACCTTATCTTTAAGCTAATTTAATTACACATTAATTTGCTATCTCATGTAATAGCTTCGAGTTCATTTTTGAAGTACAGAAATTTTCTATTATTTGAGCGAGGAAAATTCATTCAATAACTCTATCTAACTACTTTGATGTGATAGATAATAAAATTTATCAAATGAAAATATTGATAATAGTAACCCCTTCATTAATTTAAATAAACGATTTGACTTTCATAATTAAATGGTCTTAGCAAAATAATTTGAGTTTTGGAATTACTCAATCTAAACCAAAATCAGGTGGTTTAATTCATTACCATATATAAGTTATATGTAATCTACATTTTACTAAAAATTTCCAATGCAAAGAAGATGTGTCATGAATGATAGAGTATTTATACTGCATACTAAAGTAATCACCAAATAGGATACTTAGCACAAATTTATGAAAAATTTTCCCTTCAAAATGCTATTTGTTTTTAAATGAATTTGTATAAAAAAAATGATATTACTTTAAAATAAAAAAATATTTATGTAACAAACAAGAAATTTAAGGATATACAAAAAAAGAGTTACATACTTGTAAGTCATTGTTAATCAATCTTACCGTTTTTTTTTTTTTTTTTTTTTTACGCGATCTTATCATTATGAGTCTGTGCATTTGCACAGGCCCTAAACTAGTAAAACATATTATTGACCACCTCAACCAAAAGCTTAAACTAATGATTGAAATTCAAAAATATGTTTTATACTTTGTACTAATATAATCACATTACATTTACCTTTCTCCTTGATCCTAGAAATCAAATTTGGATATTTCTCATCTCTATTATGTATTAGATCATGCATTATTATCCAAAGATATAGAGGATGGTGGATCAAGTGAAATACAAAAACGGGGAGAACTACAATCTTATGCGTAAAGAGATCACAATTAACCTAAAAATTAAACCTCGATCTTATAAAATACACTTATTTTGGAAAAATTGTGATTGTATTACTTAATCAAGCATTTAAGAAAATTGTAATGGTGTTTCAACAAGCAACTCTTTTGAGTTAGATTATACTGTCTTATCATCCTACTAAATAGTCGTGATATATACATGATTGAATTTTCAAATTGACAACTCTTTTTCGATCTTTAATACTAGGGAAATTTACTAGTATTTAGATTTTGCCAACTTTAATTTCATTTTATGTAAAATAGCTCATCCACGTACGCACACTTTCCTTATTTCACTTAAATTTTATTTGTTGTTCATTTTTTTTTTCCAAATCCAAAATTATTAATTAAAAGAAAAGTACTTGTAATTAGTGAGAATCAATGTATACTTGCCTACTAGTCATTTTAAACCAATCCAACACGTCCATATTTGCTATCAATGCTATGGTTGAGTAAAGGAGTGAAATAACCTTTCTGCATGAAGTCCATACGTAGCATACGTAACTATATATTGCAACATTTTTGATAATAAATGTAGCTCTAAGGCCAAATTATAAGGGTTTTTTTTTTTTCTTTTTCTTTTGAAGTAGTAGTCATTGACATTAATCTCCTTGAATATTATCTATAGTAAATGCTAAAAAACGCACATACCATAAAAATATATATATAATTTGAATAGTATATGCTAGGACCTGGGAAGAATCTAATAAGAGCTCACGTAACATTTTTATCGAATATATTATATATAGTCAAAGATGAAAGATGGTCAAATATGAATATTTGATCTCTATAATGCAAGTCAACTCTTGATTAATTTGATTTGGTGTCCACTTAAACTACCTAATATAATTTTACAATCTTACTTATTTATAATTCTATTCACTTTTAAAATTTAATGTTTTTCCATGCAAATGTACTCCCTTCGCCCCTTTTTATAGTTTCCATTTGGAATCTTGACACTAATCATAATGTGAGAAAATCTTCTAAATTACTCTTAATATATAAGACATAATATAGTCATGTTGGGTCTTATTTGATTCGTCTCGATGAATAGATTATTAATATTCAATTCTTATTTTTTTAGTAATAAACAACTAACGATATTTATGGTCAAAGTGTTACATTGACATACATAAAAGCCCAAATGGGCACTATAAAAGGGGGCCGAGAAAGTATGTAAAATGGGTTGCATGTTCTGTGTATAAAATTACGTATGCATAACGTGCATATATATCTAAAATGAATAGTGTTCGAAAGTTGCCACAAGTACACAACTAAAAAAACTCATATGTAAAATTACGTTTGTATGACCAAACAATACCCAATATAATTCACTGTGTAAAGTTGGCACTTCCATTTTATACTGATAACTTGATAAGTTATTATCTTTGCAAAAATGTTACATTTTAAAATCACTCATAATAGGTAAAGGTAACTATATAATTAGTGATTTTACCATGAAAAAAAAATTCTTTAAAAATCAATTTTATTAAAACTTATGTTTTTTTCTTATAACTTTCTTTTTTTTACTAAAATAAGTGAATTAAACAAGTAATTTTAATGTAAGTCAACACATAATATGTAGTACTTTGTATTAAAATAACAAAATTTAAATTTTTCTGAGATGCATACTTGCATTAAGTTCATACAATAGTACTACTAGTGCTCTTTAATAAAGTGGGGGCAATAAGTCTATTCTTCAGGTAAACCCTTCTCCTGATTTCATTTAAACAATTCATTTTTGTAACGGAACCACCTTCCTTCTCTCTTTCTACATTTAATACTCTTCCCTTTTTCTTTAATTATTACACTATTATTATTTAATCCTCCTTCTTCAGGTAGTATTGATTTTTATAGTTTGACTCCTAAACAAGATTAAACAACTACCCCATCTTTACTTAATCAATTTAAACCGACACAACCTTTTAGTTTTATATTTTAAAGCTTGTTTCATTATATTATCACCACTTATGAATATCTATTATACATTCGGGTATATTATTACTTGTTTATTTAGGTGTCATCTAACTCTAAATTTACAACTTTTATCGAGTTTAGTATTTTAATCTCATTTTATTAACACGAAATTACAAAAGTATCTATTTTACATTCAAGTGTTTTAATACTGAATTAACTAGGTGTTAACTAACTCCAGGTACACCCGCGTGTGTATAATGGAATGTGAACTGGAGGACTTGTCTAGCAATCATTTTCATGAATAGAGAATTGAGATCTCAATATCTTTTTCTTTTTTTTTCCTCTTTTGATTTTCAGAAGAGAAGAGAGGAGAGAGAAAGGAGGAAGCTTCCATTTTCATGCTTCTCTTTTACTATATGCAATTGCAAACTTAAGAAGGCAGGGGCAATAAAGGGAAGGAAGTACAATCACTTTCTCTCTCTACTCAACCTACCATTGATTACTCTTTTGCCTTCTTCTTTAAACCTTCTTCCAACAACCTAGTTCACCACCACCTCCTCACATTCACAAATTTTACAATTTTTCTTTCCAACAGCTACTAACCCTTTTCATTTTTCTCATTATTTCTGGGTTTTCCCACTTTTTTTTAGTTCAGATTTCAATTACCCATTTCATAATTTCAAGAATTTTGCATTTTTTCATTGAGTTTTGATCAATGGGAGTGATTTTGGCATCTGGGTGTTTGTTAAATTTCAGAATGATTGTTGTTTTGTTGCAGTACTAGATCCAGAATTTGAGTTTTGTTCATATTAGGAGGGGCTGAATTCTGATAAAAAGGTATAACATGTTCAGAATTTTGCTTTAGTATTTTGCAATTTGTCTTGTGTTTGCATTATTTATGAGTGAGGTCAAATTATTTAGCTAAGATTTTGTTTGTTCTTATGCTGTTTTTGTCCTATTATTTGTCACATTTCTTGGTCATCAAATTATGAAGATTTTCAGGTTGAGGTTTATGTGAATGTAGAACTTTGCATTTATTGTGGGAGATTATGAAAAGGATAAGTTTTGGTGGTATATGTGTTGTTTTTGTTTTGAAAAATGACTTGAATTATGGGATGTCAAATTGTCAACTGTCATATAGAACTATAGAAGTGTGCAACTATACGTTTAGGCTTGTATTGCCGTGTTTCCACTTATACTGCTGTTGTGTTGTAGGACATTATTCGATATTTTCGACTAAAATGGCGTCTGAACTCAATGCTGGAATGTCCAAAAAAGTTGCTGGTGTGAGGCTGTGGGAATTAATAGGAGTAACCATTGGCGCTTTGATTGTAATTATCCTTTCGATATTGCTCTATCTGTGCCTTACTGCTAGGAAGAAATCTCGAAGAGCTAACACCAGTTTACCTCTTACCCAAATTCCTTCGATTTCTAAGGAAATTCGTGAAATCAGAGTGGACCATGTTTCCCAAAATGTGTATGGTAGTTATCCAGATGGTGTTGTAGAGAAATTGAAAGAGAAGGATTCAGACAGGCTTTTAGTTCATCCAAGTGTCGATAAAATAAAAACAGAAGAAAATGGAAAGCATTCAGGCTCTTTTACACGCTTCGAAAATGATAGTGTTGGGTCTCCAATGGGGGATAAGCCTTCTTCACATCCGATAAGTGCTCCTTCTCCACTATCTGGACTTCCTGAAATATCTCGTCTTGGTTGGGGACACTGGTTTACCCTAAGAGACCTTGAAGTTGCAACAGACCGCTTTTCCAAACAGAATGTCATTGGTGAGGGAGGATATGGCATTGTTTACCAGGGTGAGCTTATTAATGGGACCCCGGTTGCAATAAAGAGGCTTCTTAACAACCTGTAGGTGAAAAAAATAGCTTACTTCGGTGTTCATTACTTGTTGAGTTTATGTTTTGATTCTATGATATCATGGACTGCAAGATGATTATGTAATGATTTTGATAATTGCATTGCAGTGGACAGGCAGAGAAGGAATTCAGGGTAGAAGTGGAGGCTATTGGTCATGTTCGACATAAAAACTTAGTTCGACTTCTTGGATACTGCATTGAAGGAACTCACAGGTAAATGCTTTTGCTTTTGCTGTAGGTTTAAAAGCAAAACCTTCACTCATAAATGAATTTGAGAGATGTAAACGATCAAAATACTTAATTAAGACTTCATTGTATGGTTATTTAAATAGCAAGATATCCCAATTTAGTACCTAAATTAAAATAGTGCTTTAGATAATTTTTTTTACATTAATTGGTTGAGTTCATTGTAGACAGAACATGTCTTAGATGTGCTGACTAATACAAAATGAAAATGTTATGTAGGTTACTGGTGTATGAGTATGTCAATAATGGAAATTTGGAACAATGGCTTCATGGTGCAATGCACCAATATGGAAATCTTACTTGGGAAGCTCGCATGAAGGTTCTTATTGGCACTGCTAAGGCGTAAGTTGTTTATAAATGAAACTTCAAGACATTATGAAGTGCAAAGTTAATGTATCTGAGATTACTAATACTAATATTCATTACAGCCTTGCTTACTTGCATGAAGCCATTGAGCCTAAGGTTGTGCATCGAGATATCAAATCAAGTAACATACTAATAGATGATGAGTTCAATGCAAAGGTGTCTGATTTTGGCTTGGCAAAGCTGTTGGGTGCTGGAAAAACTCACATTGCTACTAGAGTTATGGGCACATTTGGGTAAGAGCTTTTTTTTTTAACTTCTAGCTGATCCTCTGCTCTCTAATTGCGCCCAAAGTTCGTCATGTCTATAATTACCATAAAACCATTTCACTGTTGAAATAAAAGATTATGAAATAATTAAAAAGACGACGTATATACTTGGTAAATAATTGAATTGTATTTTGCTTTTTTGCTATCTTGCAGGTATGTGGCTCCAGAATATGCCAATAGTGGCCTTCTAAACGAGAAAAGTGATGTCTACAGTTTTGGGGTTGTTCTCTTGGAATCTATTACTGGGAGGGACCCAGTAGATTACGCTCGTCCCCAGAACGAGGTAAAGCCTATCGAAATTCTGCTAGTTTTACTGTATGAAAAGCTCAAAAACAAGACACTTAAATGTTGTTTAGTTCAAATCTGAGGGAGAATGATTGATATTGTGTTCTAGATCATGCAACTATGACAAGTTTACACTATATTAAACTACACTGAAGCCATTGTTGTTTTATTCTTTAAGTAAACCTTCCAGCTGAAGCTTATAAAAAAAATTAATTTTTCTGGTCTGAATCAGCATTGTCATTGGTTGATATTAGAGCAAGAACTCAACATTCTGTAAAATCTGATAGCAAGTATAAATCATCCTTGTGTGGCTGTAGGTAAACCTGGTGGACTGGCTTAAAACTATGGTTGGTAACAGGCGTGCAGAAGAGGTAGTAGATCCCAACATGGACACTAGACCTTCAACGAGGGCTCTTAAGAGAGCACTTTTGACTGCATTGCGGTGTGTAGATCCAGATTCTGAAAAGCGGCCAAGGATGGGTCAAGTTGCTCGAATGCTTGAGTCCGAGGAATATCCTGTTCCTCGTGAGGTATATTTTCCTTAAACCAGCCTTATACATAGATTAAATTGGCCCTGTTAACTTTTAAAAGCGTCAAAATCTTCAGCTGCAAAATTTCAAGGTTTTACTAGCTGTAAATTAGATTTACCCCTGTCTTATGCATCAAACACTTGCTGCTTAATTGAGAGAAATAAGAAATGTATTTTATTTTTACTCAAGGTTCCTTAAACTCCTGAACCTTACTGATTGCATAAGATGGAATCATAATCATTATAATTTAGACATGTTCTTCAATTCGAAGTCATTACATTTATGCTCAGATTTCTCATAATTCTTCCATCGATTCTACTTCTTAAACATGGATGGTATTTTAATTTTCTCAAACTAGCATACTAAAATGAGATCACTATACTTGTTCTAATCCTTGTGTATAAGAAACTAAAAGAAAGAATCATACTCAGTACAAAGGCAGTAAAAAGTTTTTAATTAAGCTATTTTAAGACTATGTTTTTGAATTTGCAGGATCGGAGGCATCGAAGAGCTCAACCCGGAGAGGCTGAATCTCCAAGGCTTAGTTTGAACGCAATCTAAAGATCAGTAAGCCTAAGTGGACAAAAAACATCCTCAACATGTAAGAAGCCAATAGTTAACAGATGAAACTGCATGCTTCAAACAGTCGAAGTATGTGAGTGATCTGTGCTGAGATTGAGTGCTAAAAATTGAATCCGCATATATATATATAGTCATTTTGGCCTTCGGCCACCCCCCCCCCCCCCCTCTTCTCCCCCTTCTTTTTTTTTTTTTTTTTTTTTTTGTGGGTTTAACAGAGTACTTTTTTCATTATTTTTGGTGCGACGAGTACTATGTATTGTAGTAGATATGGTTTGTATAAGTAGTCTTGGGCATTTTCTGTTATGCTTAAGCAATCAGAATTGTTTTGTACAGGCCTTTTTAGGCTAGAGGAGTTGTTGATATACTTGAGAGAATATTTGATGGATAAAATATAGAGAAGTTATGGGATTGTTAATATTTTAGATGAGGTGTGTTTGAACATCAATTAACATGTGTTTTTTTTTCAATTTTCAATCATTCTTATTTATAAATAAATGGTAGAACAGAACAATTCCAAGTTGATCAGTTAGGTGAGTAAAGAAAGAGTTCAATTAGAATATATTTCTCTGCAGTTGAGCAGCTGTTTTCCCTTGTATAAAATGTTAATGAGACTTGTGAGAATATGACATTTGGAAATCTTGCTTGCTATGCTGACAATCAAAACATGTTGTACAACATTAACCATGATGAGCTGGGTACTTAGAAATTGGTGGATGCATTTTGAGATGACTGAGATCCACTCCTATGTACAATATGGTAGAGATGGTGGGTAATGGTATAATTTCATGAATTTCGTATCGCACTTGCCCTTAGTTGTTGGAGCGGGTATGGGTATGATTTTAGTGGGTAGTAGGCAAGTATGGATATTAAATGTCATATCTAAATAGTGGATAAGTGTGATTTAAAATCATACTCGCCCAATATTTACTTGCCCCATCTTGCATCCAACCGCTTGTGCCATATCCGCTACTTGGTTGATCACCACCTTATATCCAAAACTATCTAATATTAGGCCCTATTTAGCAGTAACGTTTGGACCAAGTCGAAACACTAATAGGAAAAAATAAGTGTGTTTGGTAAGGTAGCGATTCATGTAACGGTTAGCGGTAGAGGTAGCATTTAGGTAGCTTTTGTCAAATGTTAATAATATTAGCGTTTGAAAGGTAGCGGGTAACTTTTGACAAATTTTATTTACTTTATAAATATTATGCATGTATTTTTACTGTATTTTAACATTTCAACCGCTAGTTTTACCAAACACTCATACTATTAACCGCTACATTGACAGCTAACCTCTACCCATTACTAATTGACAGCTACTCGCTACTCTAACAGATACCTGCTACTCGAATGTTAAAAGCTACCTACTACCACTAATTTTTCCAAATAGGACCTTATCCCTGTTTTTTATTTTTTTTATTAGTGTTACATTTCTTATTTCATATACCATTCAAGCAATTCACTAAAATGATATCTTTATAAACAAATTAAAAAAAAAAAAAAAGGTCATGTGAGGTTTTCGTTGAATTTGTCTCAATGTGTTTTTTCTTTTTCAAATTTTATTAGCTTTTTATATTGTTAATTTAAATTACTAGTCATTGATTTAATGCATTAGCAAACATGACTACAAAAAATTGTAGTAACTAATGAAAAACAGAGGAAATAACTTTTGTTTTTACAAACAATTGTAGCAACTAGTAGTAAGGTGTTGTTTGGTTGGAAAATAATTTCCTTAGAGATGAAATTTCTTAGGAAGTATTAAAATGAAGGTGTGTTCAGTTAGAGGGAAATAAGCTAAACATGGGAAATAGCAATTCCAAGGGAAATACAAATTCCCACAACCCATGGGAAATTACTCACCAACTCCTCCCTTGGTGAGTTGAATTTCCTAGGATATTTCCTATAGTGTCAACCAAACAATTTAGCTTAATTCCTAGGAAAATCATAAGGGAAAAAATTTCCATGAAATGTAAATTCCCATGTGAACCTAAGGAGCACTAATAATATGCAACTCCCAATTCCCAAGAGGGTATATACGGGTCATATGCTGCTCAACTACACAACGGTAATCCTTGATTTAGGGTGAAAGGTAAAGAAATCTCCATTCCCAAGCGCAAATATATAGTGAGGCTCAAACTTATAACCTTAAAATCACAAGATGAGTTACCACCCGTTTCACCAAATTTGCTTAGGTAAAATTGGATATACATAGGGGTTGCGAAACGAATAAGAATGTAATTTTTTACCACGGAGTATAATATAAGGTATGGATGTTAGGATATGTACCCACTGTGAATGTAGATAAATGATAGGTAAAAAAAATCTAGATAGATATGAATATTTAAGATATACTCCGTATATAGATTGACTAGAATTACAATAGAATTAACAATCTGCACCTAAAAAATCCAATAGCATAACCAGTTCACAAAAACTAGAATTTGCAAAAATATCTTGACGAAAAAAAGACCAAAAAAAAAAAAGGCGCCTAAGCTTGACAAATGACAAAGCCACAAAGGCATAAAGGGGACATGTGAGTGCATCATCATCCCAACTTTGAAATGGGAAGGCTTCGTTCTGTCAAAATTTGAAGGATTCAACTCATTTTGGGTAGTGGCCAGTGGGGTTTGTTTTATCTTGCCTCAGATTTGTAAAATCATGTTTTGCTTTATTTAATAGAACAATCGTAGTTTTTATTTGATGATTTTGACCGTAATTTTGCACTGTATTTTGGATAGTGTGAGTTCTTTCAAGTCGCAATCGTTTAATCATAATTTTTTTACAGATCAAAAGCTATTTTTTTTTAAAAGGAACATAGCATTTTCGCTTTGCGAAAAAGAGGGAAACAAAAGGAATGGTTAAGAAGAAGAATAACCCCCTTCAACAAACATAAAATGAGAAAACACTACCTAAAGGTGGAAGATTTTTAAGTTATAGGAACAATATTCTATGCATTACAGACTTACAGGTTACAGCAGCTTACAAGAATCAATTTTAACAGAATACATCTCACTATTGTTGAATCACATATGAAAGAAATCAATGTAATATACTTATACAAATTTCTCATTTCCTTGGGAAGCGGGGATTTTACGCATGTGAAGCTTCATTGACCCTTAACAAAGGTTGAAGTGCTTTGACAACTATGCTCATGTTTGGACGAAAATCGGATTCATACTGCACGCAGAGAGCAGCTACAGCGGCCATCTGGGTTCAACAATAGTGAGCAAGAGAGATTTTAAGTTTAGCTCATATTTTTAAGAGTCCAACAATAGTAAGCTAGGTTTTGATTTTTGTCACAAGTCGTATGATTTGTGAAGTACAATAGATTACCTTTGCAATAGCCTTGGGAGGATAATCTGATCCCAGTCTTGGATCAACACATTGCTTTACCTTATCTTCACTAAGTTTTGGAGTTGCCTGGAAGAAGAAAAGACTAGGAGTGAGATAACACGAAAAACCATTACAAAAACAAAGGGATAAGGAAATCAAAACTTTACCCATGTCACAAGACTCTGTTGTCCACGAGGTAAAGTATGGTCTACAGGTTTGCGCCCTGTTAAGAGCTCCAAGAGAACAACACCAAAGCTATAGACATCACTCTTTGAGCTTAATTGTCCCGTCATAGCATATCTAATAAGAGAGGTAAAGAAAATACTGTTACTTCAAGGCCCGATAACACGGGAACAATATAACAAAATAGAGAGAAGCACCCTGCTTTGACACGAGTGAATGATTTTAATAGTGAGACAGAAATATTTTGTTACTTTGAATGTAAAATAGTCATATAAGATTATAAAGAACATGCTAATTGAAGTCCAAAAGAGGACTGCAAATCAACTTCCCCAGATAAACCTACGTTACTCATCGGTTCAACTCAAGTACCTGTGTCAGATAATTGATACTCTGTCATGGGTATGACCACTTCACCCTTTACATTGGATGAAAAAGGATAGAAAATTATCATAAGCTGTCCAAATTTGATAGTGGCTTGGTAATTACCTCAAATCCGACAATAGTAGTCGAGTCTAACATCTGATAGAAAGATCACAATTATATACACGACAGCCTGGCTACTTTTATAGTTTTATCAACATCTTATGGAACTTAGCTTAAGGCATTACTTTTAATTACTACTGTTGACAACAGGCAAGATAGAATTATGAATATTGAAATACAATGAGACTTACTCTGGAGCATGGTATCCAAAAGTTCCGAGAACACGTGTGGAATGTAAACGTGCTGCCATATCGGGAGCTTGATTTGATAAATCAAAATCAGCAATTTTTGCAACATCATCGTCGAATAAAAGTACATTGCTGGACTTAATATCACGATGTATAATATGGGGCTGAGCTTTCTCGTGCAAATACTCAAGGCCTTTGGCTGCCCCGACAGCAATTTTAACTCTTTGTGCCCATGAGAGGACAGGACCGGGTTGTGCTCCTTTGACACCTTTCCTTCCTATGTACAAAAACACCATTCCATTAGTTAGTGAGCATCACAAAGATATGAGCAACAGAACATCATGCCTCCATAGGAATTCCACAAACATCTCAGCTGAAAAGTCAGAAACCAATTAGGCCTTTTTTGTCTTTTTCATTATTAATATTATTATTTATTGTTTTCGTTTAATTTTTTAATTCTCGAGGGGAAAGGCATTACAAAGAAAAAATAGTACATGTGGACTTCCAATTTGCTAACTGCCCTTTCTTTCATGCCAGTCAATAAGTATAATTTACCATGTAAAAGAAATAATGAAGAAGAATCAACTTCCATATTGCCCTTTCTTCGTGTCAGTTACGGTCTTACGGAGTAATAAGCAATTGAAGTCAAAAGGTGGACCTGATTAATCAATAAACAATTGCATGATCCTGAATAATATAGTATTAAATATGATTTTTAAGATGCAGACAAGGATGACATCTCCGGCATCACAAGGACTCCTACGCTAGAAAGTAGGATCACTGTCTACTATAGTATAATTCTGTTTTACCACCAATGTCAAATTCAATTTTAAAAAATTCACAAAATCAATAATTAGGGCATCTCAAAAACCACTCAAGTCTTTGCAAGGTTAGGAGGCTCCTGGGTAATAAAGCAACCTACTATAAGACTGATAACAGACGAAATAGACAAAGCACATGGCTTTACTACTAATAAAGTAACAAGCAATTCTGCATTAGTATTACTTCTAGTTACTACGGTAGCATGCATAATCTAAACTGCTTTAAACTGTCGCTTCACAGTGAGAAACAGTAAAGATGAAGTTTATGAAACAGCATCGATTGTGCTAACTGTCAAAACATAATCTGCAGAACTACTCCGTAAAATTTATCCTGTACTAAGCAACTTAGAAGCTCAAGGAATGAACTAATATATTAATGGATGCAGTAGATAGAATAATAGGACAAAGCTTGGAGGCTGTTTGACAGGTGATAGCGGAATTGGAAATACAGAGAATAAAGAAATTAACTACAACTTACCATGAAGAATATCATGCAGGGAACCATTTGCAGCGTACTCGTATGCAAGGACCCGAAAGTTGCCATCAAGACAATAGCCAACAAGCTCAAGGACATTTTCATGTTTAAGTCTTGAAACCATAGACACCTGTGGCGTGTATCAGGATGTTAATTAGCTAGATAGAACACCAAAATTGTCAAGGAATTGACAATGCTTGCCGCTGAGGGCATTACCTGTCCTAAAAATTCTTGGTCAGGTTGTTTACAGGAATCTAATTTTTTCAAGGCAGCAGCCTGTCCACTTCTTAGTGTACCAAAATACACTCTTCCATAAGATCCCTCACCAATCAAAGCTTTCGTTCCAAAATTATCTGTAACTTCTTTCAATTCATCCACGGTAATTGGAGAAACCGCAGGAGGCTGAAAATTTACGGTTTGTGTATCCTTTGGCTTGTCTTCTCTTGCTGGATATGCTGCATGATTGCCTGAAAATCATAGCCTTTTCAGTCAACCTACTATTTTCAACCTAAAGACAGATTGTGCAGAGTCATGAATGACGGCTAACTTACATTTGTATCCCTTATATATTTACACAGAAAATTCAAGAAATCATAACAGATCATGTGATCAATAAACACGAAATTATATATAGAATTCATTTGTTCAACACGACAATGATGAATCAATTTTTATTAATAACAATCTGCATATAAACGGGGCGACTCAGTGTACATAGATACTCAACAAACCCTTACCAGCTGGATTATTTGTCATGTATGCCCCATTATCACCTCCTCTCTGATAATCATCATCTCCACAGCAGCCGAAACAGCTCATGTTGCTCCTCAAGATGCCGTATACTAAGTACACGATGGATTTCAATAACTGCATTTATGCATAAACAATTCCAACCAGAAAACAGTAAGCTTAAGGTTGTAATAATCGAAAATTAAATAATAAAAAAGGTACATTCAACAAAACTAATTAGAAACCAGAATCCCAGCTTCTACAATCACAGGTTAGATTAAATTCATCAAAATGCATTTTCAACAAACAAAAGAAAAATATGGACTGAAGTATAATAAGCTAAAAGTAGACACATTAACCTTAAATCAAATATTAATAACACCGATCAACACATTTTTAAACATGCTAATAGTTAGCACTTACAACTGCATATATCAGATTCGCTAATAATTTAAATTTCCACCGAGAAAAGGGTGTAGCATAAGTTAGACCATTGATTATAGTGATCTACAAAAATAAACCCAGAATCAAAATTAAAACCCAATATCTATATTAGATCGCAGGTATACAATTACTAATTGATCACAAATACCCAGAAGGAAAAGAAAAAAAAGCAAGAAAAAAAAAGAAATTCAACAGCAATTACTACCATAATCAAAAAAACACAAAATCAAGCTTAAATTATCAAACCCAAGTAACTCCACACATCAAATTAATGTAAAATAACAGAATTAAGATAAAAACTACTTCAGATCAGTAACAGTGGAGCTCAGAATTAGAGTGAAAAAGTAATGAAAATTCAAAAATAAAACATACCCAGAAAAATTTGATGAAGAATCAAGTGGTTAACTGTAGATTGATCTAAAAAAATCAATAAAAATGGGGGAATTTAATGAAGATATTAACAGGGTTTTGAGGTGTGTGCTTGAATTAGCAAAAAGTAGGAAGGGTGAGAAAGAAAGAAAGCGAGTGAGCGAAAGTTGCGGGTAAGAAGAAAGAGAAACGCGTAGGATGAGGAAGAATTTAGCAGCAAAAGTAAAGTAAAAAAAGAAGATTATGCAACAGCAAATTTTAGAATTTTCTCGGAAAAAAATTAAGAGAGAAGTGAATTGAGTTGAATGATTTTGGAATGGATTTGGTCTGGTTTTATTAATCTGACCACTAACTACCACCTCTCAGGCTCAGGCCCCCACTTTTGACCTTTATTTATGGTAGGAAATTTTTTCTACAATTATCCGCAAGATAGGGTCATTTGTAAACAAGTATTCATTTTTTTGTATTTATTTAGAACTACCCGTAAGATTGAAAACGTTTGGGTAGCACTACCCATTAACGTTTTTTGTCCAATTTTCACGCTATTGGGGCCCACTTTTTAACTTTTCCCACCTAATTAACTCCCCGAACTACCTTCTCTCCTCTGTAATTTTTTTTCCCTCCATTGTCACTCAAAAAAATCCGATTGAAGAAATCAAGCAATTGAACACAAATTCAGGTAATCTTTCACACTTTCCTTCTAATTCATTGTATTTCGCATTTGTTTACAAGTTTTAATTGAATGCAATTAAAAGAATTAGGGTTTAAATTACTGATTCAGATTAGGGTTTATGTGTTCAATCAAATTCGTGGGTTTTGATTTCTAGGGTTTGGGGGTTCAATTGAGTTCTAGGAATCGGCTATTTTGTATTTGAGATTGAATTTTGAAGCATTTTAATTACTAATTGACATTGTAATTGGTAGGATGTTCAACTCTTCATACCACTCCTCTATGCAATATCATCCAAACAAGTGCAATTGTGGCATTCCACCAAAATTGGAGACGTCGTGGACTGCAAAAAACTCTGGGAGAAGATTTTTGGCTTGTAAATTCTATGATGCTGCATCTGGTAGAAGAGGATGCAAATTTTTCAAATGGATTGATGAAGAAATACTTGAGTGGTAGAGGGTTGTTAATCAACTTGTGTTGGACAAAAAGCTGATGAAAAATGAGATTGCTTTACTGAAACAACAGGTTTGCCTGCTTCAAGACCAAAAGGCAAGGGTGGAGATTGAAAAAGAAAGACTTAACCAGAAATGCAAGACACTTTCTGCTGCTATGAAGAAGGCAAAGACAGGTGATAGGGATGGCATATCAAGATTGATTCTGGTGGTGAAAATTGTTATTATTGGATGATGTTAGTGTATTTGGGAAGGACATTGATGTAGTAGGCAATTAGTTAATGATTGGTATTACATTTGCACTGTATTAGTGGCATATGTCATAGATTTTGGTATGTAAACAAAGTGCAATTGCTGACCTTTATCAATTTTAGGTTGTAATATTGTCGTGACAATGAAATGGAATGGTGTTTTGATTACTACCTTTACAATGCAATTTAAGGCATAAATTTTGAGCACATTCATACTGAAAAAGCCTTGCATTTCATCATCCAAATTAATTACAAGGCCAAAGTGGATTTGTTCATCAATACTTAATAAAATGCAGGCTACAACAATGTAATATTAGGTTGAAGTACATGTAGCCCCACAAAATATATAAGGATTGTTCTTAACACAAAATACAGAAAATAACCAAATCACATCATAATCTATGGCTCCCACACAGGCTGATTCTTCATTTTTGACTTAATTGGAAGTGGTGGACCAGAAGCTGCACCCTGTGAGCTTTGCTGAGATGAGCAGTTTGTGATGTGGATGTGCCAGTTTGAGGGTTAATCTTACCCTGAGAAAAAAAATTAAAACAAATTATAACACATTTAGAGCATGGTTTATTAAACTTAAAAGATACAACCCAGCTTGAGTCCCCACATACCTTTTCCACAACTCTTTCCCAATTCTTCTGCCTTTGTTATACATTCCAAGGGTTCATTATGGGGGTCTGCCACCTAAGTCAATCTCTTTGGCTGGAGGTGGATTCTTGCACTTGTTCTTATAATGCCCTGGTTGTCCACAGTTTGAGCACTTTGGCAGTTTCTTAGCTCTTTGGCACTCCACGGCTTCTTCCCTCTCACCAATTTCCTACTTCCTTTTCTTGTGGGAGGGTCTGCCAGGCATTTTCCTGATTACAGGTGGTATGGGTTGCATCATATCAGGCCTTTTCTCCCATTGTTTCATGCCAAGCATTGGTCTGATACATGGTGTCTATGCCTCTAAGTATCTGTCCTTGCTGTAGAAATCATCAACAAAGTCCTCTAGCCTGAGTCTTTTCTTAATAATGCAAGCCCAAGCATGTGCACATGGGATCCCAGTAAGCTCCCATCTGAAGCAGCTACATGTTCTCTCCCCCAAATTGACTACATATCTGTCATGGTAGTAGTCCACTTCCCAAATGTCCAGCCTAGAAGGAATTACATTACAGTTGCTAGCCAATTGTGACACAAATTGGAAAACCTTGGCAACATAAGGCATAAATCTGCCTTCATGACTTTGCACAGCATCCCATTTCCTAGTGTTTCTCTTCATCACATACCTCCTAATCCATTTTAGGCATGTAATCATTGGTTTGTCTCTTGCATCTCTCAACACAACATTAAAGCTTTGACATATGTTGTTTAGCAGCATATCAGACTTGCTATATGTGGAGAATGCATATTTAACCCAATGCCTAGGAGGAATTGAATCTAAATACTGAAATACATCTGGAGATAATTCTTTGATCTTTGCCATATGAAGCTCAAAATTAGCCTAACAATGAATGCAATGATTTAATTTAGATGACTATGCAAAGGTGAGATATATTACTAAACAAATGATAATGTAAGACACATACCCTTGTAGTTGACCTTGTTGACTTCCAAAAATTCTCTTTGAAAGCCTCACCACCAAATTTGAGCTTAAAATTAGCCCAAGTGTGCCTTACACAAAACCTAATTTCAGCATTTGGAGTCACAACAGCAAAAGCTTCCAACAATCCCTGCGTTAGACAATATGAAGCGGTTGACATGTGAGAGTTCTATTAAGCAACACAAGTAGTTGTAAATAAAAAGAAAGAAATCAGCTTTGTACCTTTTGTCTGTCTAACATCAATGTCAGCCCTTTTCCCCTTGGTTTCTCAATGTCCTTCATTAGCAGCTCCAAAAACCAAATCCATGTGTCCTTGTTCTCCACCTCCACCACTTCCCAAGTTACTGGGTAGATGCTGTTGTTGCCATCCTTACTCACAGCAACAAGTATCATCCTAGGGAAAACACCCTTCAAATGACACCCATCTACTCCAATAACAGGCCTGCACCTTCTTTTGAATCCAACTTTACAGGCTTCAAAACAAACATACATCTTCGAAAAATGGGTGGAGGCCTTTCAACCCTTTCAATTACAAAAATTGCTGAAGATCCTAGGTTGTATTTCAACACAACAAACCCATAATCAAACACTCTTGCATACTCCTCAGTAGAATCTCCATACAGAATTAATTTTTCCCTTGTCCCGGCAAACCAAGCCTTATCGTATCCAATACGAACCCCCAAATCCCTGTACACCCTGTCAATGAACACTTTAAGCTTCCAAGTGGGATTAGATTTTCATTCATCTAAATACCTATCTACTAAATACTCTTATGTGACCTTTAAACTCTCATGGTGAAAGCCACATGTGTGGTTTAAGTTCAAGTTCTTCACCTGCAGTGTATCCTCCATTCTTAACTGCCTTAAGAGTATTTTTACACTTGTTCTCAGATACACATGTGCACACTATCTTACCATGCTTCTTCTCCCATGGACAATCACACTTTTTCTTACAGTACACACTAACCTTAGCCTTCCCATTATGCAAAAAATAATAGTCATAATGGTTTTCAATGCTATGACACCTAATTGATTTTCTAACTACCTTCAACATTTGGGAACTTCAACCCTTTCACAAAGTTAATGCTTCTTTTGAAATCAAGAAGGGTTATGATCTACTTCTTCATCTGAGCCTTGAAGACTCCTTAGTTCTTCAGAGTCATATTCCACCTCCTCCACATGACCTTCATTGGCAGCTTCCTTCCTTATCTCAGGTTCAACACTTCTCTGATCAGCTTCCTCTTCTAACTTGTCCTTTCCTCCAAACCCAAAGTCAACTTCAAGATCTGACCACTCAGATTCATCAGACCACTCACCCTCCCCACTCTAGTCCTCACCATCAACCCCAAGTTCAGTCACTTTCTTTGAACTTCTCTTTCAATCAGCCTTTCTTGTACCCTCTTTCTTAACCTGCTTTCCCTTTGAAGCTACACTCTTCTTTGACTTCCCCTTTTGAGCAACTGTTTTCTTTCTTGGGGTAGGTTTTTGTAGAGGGGAAGGGCTGCTAGGGTTCACAGAAGGTACAGAAGAAGAATTTAGGAAAGGGTTTTGTTCTTGGCTTGTTTTTTGTGGACAAGGAGGCTAATAAGGTTCTGAGCATTGTGAGGATAACATTGGGCTTTTTTGCCTGCCTAAAATGGCTATCATACTCAGCTTGGGTAATCACTACAACTTCCTCATCATCATCATCATCATGTATTATGCCTTTTTTGGGAGATAACTTTAAGCTCCACCTAATAGGTTGAACCTCTTTTTAAATGGGCTTCAGTTTTGTGCTGGTTAAAGCTAAGAAAGAAGTAGTTGGGGGTTCTGGTTTAGGTGTGAAAGTAGGTACAAAGCTACAGTTCTTTGTCCTTGGACCTTGGCCCTGTTCAAATTGTCGGACTGGGTTTGACTTCTCAAGTAAGGCCCAAAATATCACTCTATCAAATTTATCCCTACTGTTGACCAAATTGATAATGTCATCCAATGTCTCAACCTTTCTTCTTCCATTAGTCAAATGTCTGCCATGTAACCTGTACTATACAATGAAAATTCTAGGGTACCTAGCTACACACTAAATCATATGCTTGTATCACCCACCTTCTCAAAGTCCCAACATTAAGTTCCTTCAACCAACAACTCATTCTCATAAACATCCTTCCCCCTATTTTTTTTCTTTTTTTTTGTCTTACCCTTTCTGTATTCAAATTCCCCACCAACCTAGATATTCATATCAACATAAGATGGAAGCTCCCTACAACATTGATATATAACAGTAAAGATTCAATCACAATGTGGCTAAATTCAGTCAAACAACATTCAGTCAAACAATATTCAGTCAAACAACATGTAGAGCATAACATAAGCAGGGCATAACAACCAAGCAAGTAATGCACAATTATCTAAGCTCAACAGCAGCCTCAATTGTTAATTAATTATGTGATAAAGTGTTACAATTGTTTAATTGTCTAGTCAATTTTGTCAATTACAAAATTAGGGTTCCAATTTCAAGTATTTAAATGTTTAGGGTTTTCACATTTTTTACATTATTTAAGGTAAATGACAGAAATTTAAGGTGATTACACCAATGTACCTTGTTCGTCCTTGTTGTGTTGCAATAATTTGTGTATTTACTTCACCTTCCCCCTTTTCCATTACTGTAGTTTCACTCTTTTACTTCGAGTTACCCAAAAAAGCAACAAGATGAGTTGGAAGATAGAGAGACAACAAAGAAAGGGATGGTAAGGCTGCCAAATTTCTAAAAAGGAGAGGAAGATGATGGTGAAGATTCGCTGCTTAGGTCAGAGAATCAAGGTCAAATGAGGAAGGTGAGAGAAGAGGGTGATAATGGAGAGAAATCGGATTTTTTGAGTGACCATGGAGGGAAAAAAAATTACAGAGGAGAGAGGAGGAGAGAAGGTAGTTTGGGGGGGGGGGGGAGTTAATTGGGTGGGAAAAGTTAAAAAGTGGGTCCCAATAACGTGTAAACTGGACGAAAAATGTTAATGGGTAGTGCTACCCAAACGTTTTCAAACTTGCGGGTAGTTCTAAGCAAATAAAAAAAATGGGTAGTTGTTCACAAATAACCCTATCTTACGGATAGTTCTAGACAAAATTTCCTTTATGGTATGTTCACAACAAGTGATTGATTAGATGCCGCATACTTGTATTTATCGCGACTATTTTTTACTCTGTATTATACAATTAGTTGTACCTTACTTTATGTAATACGAAGTTTATGTTACTTGACTTCATAATTCCTCCGTTCTTTTTACTTGATGCGTTTCTTTTATCACGTTTGCCAATGTTAAACTTTAACGATCAATAACTTTAATTCTCCATGAGTAAAAATTATAAAAGTGATATATTATGATATCACTTATTGAGACGAATTTAAAAAGATCCCACATGAATATGTTTCTCCTTATATATTATTCACAAAAGACGTAAAGGAGGGGTGGTGAATAGTGTAAAAGTCAAAACGGGTCAAGTAAAAAATAACGGAGGAAGTATATATTTCGCCAGTTAAAAAAATGAGTCGGTTACATGCTTCGCTCATTTCGCTTAATTTTATTTGCTTGCACAAAATGAATAAATTCTTCAAGTAATGTGTAATAAGAGGAAAACTGATTTGCACATTTGCGTATAATTAAACTTGACATCCAATTTATATGGTGAAGATGATGGTCATTCAAGTTTAATTTTTTTTTTTTATGCTTCTATTTTTCTATTTTTTTAGTTTATATAAGATGATGGTCATCTAGAGAGCATTTACAAATTATTCTTATTTTAGCTACATAGTTTTAGAAATTATAAAAAGTTAATATTTTGAAATTTTACATAGAGATAAGTGTATCGCTTATACAGAATTTATTATCAATGAATTCTCATGATCAAATATAGTATATAGTACGAACTATTACTTATGAAACAATACATTATTTGATTCATACAAACTATGTAACTATAAATTCATAAACAATCGCCCAAACGTAAAATATATTGGTATAAACAACGGTTATAAAATGTGTAGGACGGGTGAAAAATGGTGCAGAGAAAATATTGGGAGCATTAGCAACTCCAATAGTTATTTATTATTTTTTTTTTTTTTCTTGCAATTAAAATAAATTGTGTAGCTACAAAGTGTTGTAGACTTGTAGCTAAAACAAGTGAAAAAATGAAAAATAAGCTCCATTTAAAATCAAACATGTGTATAAATAATATTATTTTATTAATATCATTTTTTTTTGGCAAGCTACTGATCGTATAATCAGTTGTTGCAAACCATTACTTTGTAAGTTTGTAGCTAAAAAGTATGTAGCTTAATATTGATGTGGAAAAGTAAATTGGAAATGCTCTATAGATGAAAAATAAAGTGTGGATGGGTTAAGAGCCAAAAAAAAAAAAAAAAAAGTAGAATTACTTTTTATTAATAAGGTTTTTGTAAGTTTATTTACAGTAAGGGTAGTCGATAAATTTCGTGCGAATATTCATTCTTGTACGAAGGGAATTCATAATGCAACTTGTATAATGATAAATATTTGAATATATTCCGTTTATGCTACTTTATGAGGTTTTCCAACCCACAAAGATACTTATTATTATTATTATTATTATTATTATTATTATTATTATTATTATTATTATTTCTCAAAAATAGACAAAGTCATACAACCTATAAAAAATTAATGGGCAAGTATAAATATTATTATTATTATTATTATTATTATTATTATTATTATTAATGAAAGTATAGTGTACATTAATACAAAACTAGTCCATCTATGTATTATTGTTGGCAGACTTGACAGTTGGTGAGCCACTGAGCCCCCACAACACCAACGCCAACGACGAGACCAAAATTCCCAAAGTTGTATGAATAATGGTGCATTATTGGCCAACACATCTACTCATTAGGGTATATACTAAATTAAAATTTAAATTTAGATTTAAATAATGTTATTATACTAAATTTAAATTTATATACTATATAGGGTATATACAACATGAACTATAAAATACTTGTATAATAATGTCATTGATTTCTTCATAATCTTCTTAAATTAGGAGATTAGATTGTACAAGTATATTGGTATATGGATCTTACTTTAAAACGTATGCATTTTGATCTATTTCCAATGGCTTAGCTAGTTATATTTCGAATAAGGAATTGAAGAGAAAGTTGTATGGATGGGCTTAAATTATAATAATCATCCTTAATATCATATTGGAAAGCTTTCAAATTTCTATATACTCTCTTCATTTTTCAAAAAAGCTCCATTCATTGTATTGAATGTATGCTCTTGTTTTTCTGAAAATGTTGAAAAATGTGGGTGAGTGTAAGATAGAAAATGTGAATAAGGTAAGAATGATAGAATACAATAAAAAGTATGTGAAAAATTTAAGGAAGAATGAGAGGAATAGTATAATTATACGTGTGGAGAGAAAGAGTAAGGTGTATGAGGTTAAAAAAACATCATAAAAACTCATAACATTATTTTAATAAAAAAACCAACACTTAATTAAGTTAATAATAACATACTTCCAACATTTTTTTTTCTTGACCTATTTTATTTGATTCGTTTGCCAATTCATAAATCTAACCATCAATATATTTGATATTTAATAATAAGTAAAAATTATAACAAATAGATAAAAGATATTTAATAAGTAAAAATTATAACAAATAAATATTATAATATGATTTATATATATTGAGACAATTCAAATAAGAGATCTCACATGAATATTTACGTATAAATAATCACAATAGATGATCAAAAGTAAATGTGTGAATAGTGCAATTCAAAAGTCAAAATAGATTATCAAAAGTGAATGTGTGAATAGGGCAATTTAAAAGTCGAAATATAATTAAGTAAAAGAAAAACAGAGGAATTAATTAAAGTACAGCATAATATTAAATTTTACCCAACTACATGGAAATCTACATACAACCTAATCAAGTGTATCTTTCCAATTGCACCATCTATTATTTGAGGGATTTACTATAAGGTCTGCCCTTGAGATTATGGGCATGTTCGGCAAAATGTAGTTGTATAGGTATCTGTTAGCTGCGGTAATAGTTGTTAGTTGTATGTGTAACTATTAGCTGTTAACTGTGAAAATAAATAATTAAATATAAGTGTTTGGTAAAATAATTGTTGACTAGCTATTAGCTATGAAATTCTAAAAATATAAAAGAAAAATTTCAACAACAACTACCTTCAACCTTCAAAAGCTAATAATATTAACTTTTCATATAAGCTATTTCAACCACTAAACAATACTCCCACCACTATAAACACTCATGTTTTTTTATTTAATAATGGTTTTGGATAAGTCAAACCACTAAAAGATACTGCTGAACACGCTCTATTAAGGGTGATGAAGCTATAACAGTAGACATGGTATGAGGTTGGAAAGATATTTAGAGAGTACTTGTGCCACAATGAATTCGTTTGTTCTTATGGCTAGCTAGCGATCCAAGGATGATTGATGATTGTGAACACTTACCGATGATCTTAGATGTCTAGTATGTGGCGAGGTTGAAGAAAATGTTGAATATGAGGTTAGATAATGTGTAATGCCCTGCAAGATTTAAGAATTAATTATTCTATGATGAAGCATGTTAGTGTGTATATTTCCTATTAATGTGTATGTATTTATATTTAATGATTTTGTGCTTCGTTTGTTTGTGGTCATTGCCTTTCTATTGGTCTTACGACAACCTAATAATTGGTGAGCAGCCATGACAAGATTAATATTCTAGGATGAAGTATGTTAGTATGTTTACATTTCCTTTTAGTGTGTATTATTTATCTTTACTGATTTTGTGCTTTGTTTGTTTGTGGTCATTGCCTTTATATTGGCCTTGCGATGACCTAATAATTGGTGAGCAGCCACAACAAGATTAATAATAAAGACGAGGAAGATTTACAAGTAGTAGCTGTTGGTAAAAATACGTGTTGATTCTAATAATAATAGGGGGTAAAAGAGAAAAAAATACTTGATTGAAGATCTCAATAACACTGTCACGTTATGAAACATAATCCATTGCCTTAGAAGTGAAATACGCCACCAATGGTACAACATTCCTAGTGATGCGCGCCCTCAAGTTTAACACAACTTCTCTCGTAATCCGTGCACCTGAACTCGAAGGATGAAATTGCAACAACAATTGTTCAGATATTAAAGGGTTGGTTTGTGTTTGATGTGTTTAGGGTTTTAATCTATTTCATATCTAGCATATGGGGACTTAAGAGAGTATGTATAGGAGTAGACGAAAACAAGAAATAAAAGAAATATCATGCCTTCCACTCCACGCGCACACAAACTGCCGAGCTATAGCTCGGCCCTACCAAATACACGCGAGCTGTCGAGTTATCACTCGCTTGCCTGCGAGCTTGTGCAACTGAGCTATCGCTCCCTCGTCTACGAGCTTGTGCAACCGAGTTATTGCTATCTCACCAGTGAGCTATAGCTCGGCCGTGCCGTCACCCGGAGAATGATAGCTTCCTAGATAACACGGTAATAACTTCCTCCGATTTGCATTACTATTGTCATAACTCCAACAACAGCTGCATTATCAATAACATATTGGGATTGAGTGATGAAGGTTATTTGTATCATGTTACTCTTCTTAAACAGTTTATTTTGGTATCATTTATGTGGATTATTGTTTAAAATACATTTGATTTTTGGGTTATTGAATTTAGCATTCGTTTGACATCATTGTGGTTTAAAATTTATTGGTTTTTTTTTTATTTATTTATTTTGAAAATCATATGCTATACCCTTACCTCTTAAACGCTCAAACACACACTTATGAATAGTGTGCGGACATTTATACCCCTAAAAATGTTTGTTTATTGTTCTCATTAATGTTAACTGTCTCTTTTGTTTTAAACTCATAAGAATATTGTGCGGACATTTATGTCCATATAAATATTTGTTTTTCCTCATTAATGATGCTAACAACTAAATTTGTGACATAAAGCCAAACCAAAAGAGCTCCCTGGACATGGCTAGCTATAACACAAAGTCGCCCTAGTTTCATAAAAAAAAAATTAAAAATTAGTCAAATTTATCATAATCATCATAATTTTGAAAACCGACAAAAAAATTAATGTCCAAATTAGTTTATATATGTCGTTTCCTATTTTTTATTTTACATAAAATGAAGACAAACGAGCCCTTAGATATTTGTTTGGTTTAATTTGGACCTTTACGTTCCAAGTTGCAATAAGAGAGTTTGATTTATGTTTTGAATCATAATTTGAATTTAATTTAGTTTGAAAACTACTTGCCTAATGTGATAGAAACTAAGTGTTCGAGGACCAACTCGATCAGCAAATGTTTAAGTTCATAGTTGAAGTCCAAGATTGGTTTTTATTCTCTATCACGCTCCCTCACATAAGAATCTATGAGATTTCAAATGTGGATGCAACATGGGACTCCTCATACCCAGCCCAATGCTAAATATTCCCATGAAAGGAGGGGTGGTTGAAATTAAAACCCATGACCTATTTGTCATAAAGGTTCTATAATATACCATGATAGAGGTCCACTCAACCAAAAGCTTAATTTTATGGTTGAAGCCCAAGATCGGTTTTAATCACTAAGATTGACTTTTATTAGGATTGTGAATGCTATTCCGCATAGGGACTAGATTCATAAAAGCAGGCAAACTTAGGAAGCGAATGGGAGAGAGTTTTTGTAGGCACCTTGTTGTGGCTATGGAGAAGGCAAAACAAGAGGTGTTCTTATGCTAATCTTAATAATCCAACTAACCAAGAAAGCTTGCTCTAGTGGTAACAATCAAAATAGCCATGAAAAGTGAGATTTTAATATACTGCATAATAGATCACAAAGAAAATAAGTACATATTAATTGGTTGAGCAGTTAGATTTTTTATTTTATTATTTTATTTTATTTTATTTTATTTGTTTTTTTTGGTGAAAGAAAGTTAGTGCTCTTTATTAGTCATGGTTGAGCAGTCAGATTAGGTGAATGTGATTATATACAGATGGTGCAGCAAAGGGTAACCTAGGAAGGGCAAGGGCATGAGGCTTGATTAGAGATAACAGTTGAGAGCTTCATAAGTTGTTTGCCTTGTATTCTGGCATTTACACTTGTACAAAAGCCGAGCTTTTAACTATTTAATTGGGCAGCTAATCAAGCAGTGGATTGGTCAGCTAATTATGAACTTAATTCGGAACAAAAACTCGTGTTATATAAAGCGGTCCTTAAGAATCTTCATGTTGTATTATTAGAGGATCTTAGCGTAGTGGCTTGGCTGAGATTGGTGCCTGAGAAGCCAGGACAATTGTTTCTTTTTCTTCCTTTCAGTCGTATTGATTTTTTTTTTTAGTTTCTTCTAAGCTTGTTATTTCTTTAGGGTTTGCCCCTCTCGTTCAAAAAAATAAAAAATCAAATTAGACACATGCCCAAGTATTAGCGATACCCATAGATAATGTTAGAAGAGAATAAAATTCCATAAATACGCTACATTTTAATAAAATTCCCTGCGTACCGTTCACGTCATCTTTTGTAAACTTGATTTTTTATAAAAAAAAATAAAAAGCTTGAAAAAACCGCTAATTCAATTAGCGGTTTATTTTTGCACCCATTAACTCGAGCAAGCCAATCAATATTACAGTACATAAAACCGCTAATTCAATTAGCGGTATTACATTATATGAAACCGTTAATTCAGGGTTCGTTTGGTATCGCTGTAGTTTTCTGTTTTTCAAAATCATGTGATATATATCATACAATGAATCAAAAATTAGTCAAACTTATCAAAATCATGATAATTTGGAAAACTGACAACAGAAAAGTGAAAATTTCTTTTTCTTATTTTCTGTTTTTGGTTTTAAAAAAAACTAAAAACTGAAAACAAAAACAATGCCAAACAAGCCCTCAATTAGCAATTTTGTTTTAAATTTGGCGAATTTTTTTTTTAATAATTACACTTGCTGACGTGGACGGTACATCAGAAATTTTATTAAAATGTAGCGTATTTATGGAATTTTGTTCTCTTCTCACATCATCCATGGAAATCGCTCCAAGTATTTACAAGAAGTTAATTTTTTTTTTAAAAAAAGGCATAAAAAAGAATAACCTAACTAAAATGATGCTGACATACATCCCACAAACTTTTCGTTGCAAAATAGGGTCCACTCCATTTGAGCAGTACTATGTATCTGGTTGGGAGCAAAATTTGTGTGCAAAAATCAATCTTCTTATTTTAGTTGTTTAGACTTCGAAACATATTTTTTGATGAGAGAGAATCAATAGCCCATAATTGTGGCCCTGTTTTGGTAGATTCGCCTAACTGCCATAGATTTTAGATAGCGGTTTTCATAATACTTTAATCAATTTTTGTACTGCAATACCAAATAGTCCAAGATTACTTTTTTAGATGAAGAAAAATTAAATATAATTACAAAAGAAAACCCCAATTTTTTTTCAAAGAAAAAAAAATAAAGATAACATTTTTGTACGATACTCGGTTTTTTTTTTGTTGTTTTCTATAGTGGGTTTTTTTATTTTCATGCCTCCCTTCAATTTTGGTTCAATTTATCTCGCTTTTTGACAAATTCAACATCGTCCTCCAATATTCCTCTCTCTACATTTTGGGGTTCTCGTTTCTTTTTTCTTCATAATTTTAATTTTTGTTTACAGATCTTGCGTTTGGTTCGCAAGCCAAAATCAAGGTTAGATTCAATGTTTTGAGTTACACAGTGTATTTTTTTATTTATATATATATTTGCACTTCAACTGTCTGTTGAATTTACTTTAACAAAGAACTGGGTATTGTAAAAGAGTGATATTTATTGATGTTGTTGTGAAATGTGTTGTGGGTTTTCGATTTAAATTTATTTGTGAAGGTTTTGATTCGTTGAACTGGTAATTTGGTAGCTTTGTTAGTATAAATTTTAATTCTTGCTCATGCATAGAAGCTGGTTTGTTGTTTTTGAGGGGTTTATTGAGCAATTCTTGTTATATGTTTTCAAGGGAGCTTAGTTCAATTGGTGCATTCTCTATCTGATGGAATTGGGTAGGGAATCAGGGTTTAAGATTAAAGTTGCATATATAATTGGAATTTGTGCTGTTTAGAGGGTTATATCTGTAAACAATGGAGGCTGAGATGGGAGGGAAAACTGATGTTTATTGTTCGGCGGTGATGCCGGTGTCTGACCCGAAAGCAGTAGGAAAGAAGACTTTGGAATGGGATTTGAATGATTGGAAATGGGATGGTGATCTTTTTCTTGCCGCTCCATTAAATACTACTCATACACCTTTAGATTGTAGAAGTAAACAGCTTTTTCCCCTTGGACCAGAACTTGCATCGAATAATAATGTAGGTTCCGAAGAGAGTAATAAAACTAATGAGAAAGAAAAGAGGGAAATGGAGAAGAGAAGGAGGGTTGTGGTTGTTCCTCATGAGGAGCTGAATGATGAAGGTAGACCACTGAATTTGAAGTTGGGTGAGCAGGTTTATCCTATAGCAGAAGACGAAGCTGATAAATTGGAAGGGAAGAGTGTGAAAAAGAGTAAGTCTGCTGGAACTGGAACTTCCCAACCTGCCTGTCAGGTAGAAGGTTGTACAGCTGATCTTAGTAATGCCAAGGATTACCATAGACGTCATAAAGTTTGTGAAGTGCACTCCAAGGTCAGTGAAGCTTTTGTGGGAAATGTTATTCAACGGTTCTGTCAGCAGTGTAGCAGGTTCCATGCTCTGCCAGAATTTGATGAAGGGAAGAGAAGCTGTCGTAGACGTCTAGCAGGGCATAATAAGAGGAGAAGAAAAACACTTCCTGAAACTTCACCTAATGTTGGTTCCTTGACTGATGAAAAGAGTTCAGGCTACCTACTAGTTAGTCTGCTGAGAATTTTGTCCAATCTGCACTGTAAGTACAAATTACTTACATTTTGTGTCTTTTTAAATGCAAGTTGGACGCTGATGATGGACATTGTTGATTGCTATGTGTTTTTTTTTTTAATTAAATTGGACTTTGGACTGTTACTGCATTGGTTTACTTGTCTGCTTCTCATCCATCACCTCTTAAAGTTGTTATCTTCAGTTCACCGTGTGTTTGTAGTCAAACATGTTGAATAAAGGAAATCTATTGTTGCATTCAGTAATATATTTAGCGAATGATCTCAATTGTAGAATTCGAAAAGACCTTTGGTATATTTACTTATTGTCATTATCTTATTTTAAAAACAGTGTATATGTTTTCACTTCTGTCATTTTGGTAAGAGGTGGATCCCTTTTACATCAACTCTACGCCGATTCTGACGGACATAATCCCTCTGATTCATACTTTTATTTCAACATCAACAATGCATTTGCACCAACACCTTTAAAGTGGTTTTTGCACTGCAGGGAAACAGAAAGTTGGATGTATGCAATCTTTTTTTAGTAACAATGGAGAGGTTGTTTCCAGTATACTTTAAATCGATATGCAACATATGTATGTTACTTTACAATAAATTAAAAGTGCTAAATCTTTGATTAAAGATATAACTAGTTCATTAAACAACAAAAACCAAGATTTGCTACCCTCAGGGGTTGACTGAGGAAAACTCCCTCTGATGCTTAAGTCAGTGCCTAGCCGAGTGTAACTGTAAAGGACCAAAAATGTCAGACCGAGACAGCAAGACCCATTAGGGCTTGAATGGGGGTATTTATAGATGTACTTTAAGCCTTTAAGGCATATCATCTTTTCTCAGATTCCTCTTTCTTGTCTATATCTATTCAGATCTGTACCGTTTTAGCTAGGTGCCTGTGGTTGCCCCCATACACCAAGTATTACCGAGCTTTCATTCCACCAGAAGTTTAAATTAACGTTGCTATAAGTGATTGCAATTCTGATTTAAAGTGTCATCCCGCTTTACTGTTATAGTAATGCGGACACTGGCAAGTTTAGAAGTAATTATTTAGACAAGCAAAATAATGATTGGAGATAGGGGTGCTTAAGATGTGAGTCTAGTTCGAGTTTGGGGTAGCTCGACTCGACTCATTAACATATCGAGTCGAGCTTAATCGAGTCGAGGTTTGAGCGAGCTTTGACCGAGTCGGGCTTTGACCAAATTTGACCGAGTCGATCTCGAGTAGCTTGCAACTTGATCCGTCTTAGTAGAACTCTCTATTTAGTGTAACATCTCTTCATTCTCCTTAATTTTGTCATTTGAGAAATACACATATGATGATGCGAGTATATAAATAATGTTTATTTATTAATTATTAATGTAACATAAAGTTTTTTTTTTATCAAAATATTTAATTATTAGTAAATATAATATTATACAAAGGAATTCGAGCTTCTTATGAGCTTTCGAGTCGAGTAATGAGCTACTTGACTCGACTCATTAACATTTCGAGTCAATCTCGAGCTCGAGTCGAGCTCACTCGAGTTGAGTTTTGACCGAGTCAAACTCGAGTAGCTTGCGAGTTGTCTTGTCTCATAAGCACCCCTAATTGGAGATATGGTACAAGCTACGTTGCTTTTTAATTTTGTTGCCTAGAGGAGTTGGTTATGTAATCAAGTTGTCGTATCTTGTCTCTGTGGAAATGATCCTTCTTGCTTGATTTTAAAAAGTTCTATGTGAATTGCAGCAAATGGTTCTGATGAGACAAAAGATCAAGATCTGATTTCTCATCTTTTGAGAAATCTTGCTAGTCAAGTTAGTGGAAGCAACCTGCCTGAACTACAGCAAGGATCTCAGAGTTTACATAATGCAGGAATATCTATCGGTGTTCCAGAAAAGGTGTCAGATCTTATTGCTGATCGTTTATTTGCAAATTAGCTTTCTTTTTCATGAAGCCTCTAATCCTTTTTCTGGTCCTCAGAACCCTTCTAGCGCACAAGAACTATGTCAAGCTGTGCCTTCAGCAGAAGCACGTATAGGATTATTGACAAGGGAAAATCAGCATCAGAAAGAAAAAACACAATGTGCTTCACAACCGGGCATTTTCCATCCAACTGATGGTTCCATAGCTACAAAAGGAAGTGTACCTGGGGCTTACCTTGGCATTGACTTGAATAATGTTTATGATGACTCTCAAGAATGTGTAGATATTCCAGGAAATGGACATGGTTCTATTGCTTGTGCATTCAGGTCAGAACATTTACAGAAATCAAGTCTACCTCAAACAAGTGGAAACTCCGATTCAAATTCTGGTCATTCTAGTTCTAGTGGTAGTGATTCACAGGTACATTCCTCTTCATGCAGAGCCTCTAGAGCTTACAATTTACTAGAATTTATTTGGCTGGAACACCCCCTCTTTCTTTTACACACACATATTTTGGATAGATGCTTGGCACTTCAGCATTTTAACTGTTGTTATTCCTATAAGAAAAGCAGGTGAGATTTGTCCACCCCCCCCCCCCCCCCTTCTTTTGGTTTCTAGCATTCACTTTGACTGAGAACATGACACTGGGACATTGATCCAAGAGTAGTCAGCGTTTTAAGTTGGGAAAAGCTGCATGCATCTCATCAAGAATTTGTGGACATGTTTTTAATTATTCATTGATTCTATTCTTCTTTAATAATGCTGTTACCTGCTTTATCATCAACATTCCAAGGTTTTGTGTAAAGGGAAGGGTACTTCTCATACTACATTCTTTTACGGAGAGAAGAAGGCGGGGGGGGGGGGGGAGGGGGCGCTATACATGATTCAGCTGGCAATGTCCTGTTCCACTCGTCAGAAATCTTTTTGGCCATTCAGGAAACATGCTTTGGGTCTTCTGTCATTCTTGTGTTTTGTCACTTTGTCTTTACTCTTGTCCTTATTATTCTAAATTTTGTAGGGCCGAACTGATCGGATTGTTTTCAAGCTGTTTGGTAAGGATCCAAATGACTTGCCTAATCAATTGCGAACACAGGTAATGATTTTGCTCTCTTTCTTATGATTAGGCCATTGTTTGATCAATTGTCTCGTGCTCAAAATGTTGAGGTATTTTAAATCTGTGCATTCCAGATTCTTGATTGGTTGTCCCACAAACCTTCGGACATTGAAGGGTACATCAGACCTGGCTGCATTGTTTTGACAGTATATCTTCGTTTGAACAAGTCCTTATGGGAAGAGGTTTTCTTCTTGTCCTTGACTTGGTAGATTGCCTAGTTTATGAAGGCCACATGCTGACTCTTTTTTCCTATTATTTTTTCAGCTCTGCTATGACATGAGCTCCAGTTTGAGTAGGCTCCTGAGTCTGTCTGATGATCCATTTTGGAAGACAGGATGGATCTATACCAGAGTGCAGCAAAGTGCAGCATTTATTTGTGATGGTTGGTTTTCACACCCCCTCACCAGATTTTTTTTTTTTTTTTATTAGATTAATGCTTGAAATATCATCACTTAGATGCTCTTTCATTTGCTCACTTTACTCACCTTTTTTCAAACTTTTTCAAATGATTATTTTGTTATGTCCTTTTCTGTATATCATACGATTCCTCATGATGATTCATGTTAGCCGACCCCAAATCATTTTGGGACTAAGGCTTTCTTGTTATTGTATTAATGTTTGAAATATCACAAGTTAGTTTATTACCAGATTCATCACTTAGAGTATTGTGATCTGTTTTTAAGAGTCACATAGCTGTCAGTATGCCTTTTTTACCCTTGCCAATTCAGTTCTTTTTTCTTGTGCTGAAGGTCGTGTTGTTCTAGATACTCCTCTACCTTTCAAAAGCCGTGGCAGTAGAATTTCAAGCATCAGTCCCATTGCGGTTCCTACTGCAGAGACAGTGCAATTAGTTGTTAAGGGTTCTAATCTCTCTGGGCCAACTTCTAGGTACTTTAACCATCATGTTATTGTAAGCTACTTCAGTTTTCATTTTTGAGAGTGGACTTCTTATTGTTACCTTTCTGTGCGGAATACATAAATTTTTCAAAAAGAATTTATCTATTTCTGTAAAATAATTTTGAGGCTTACATTTGAGACTTTGGTTAGCAGTTGATAACTTTTGATCTCTCAATTTACTACCTATAGGTTACTTTGTGCTATAGAAGGGAAGTATTTGGTCCAAGATAGCTGTTATAGCTTGGTAGAGAGTACTGCTGCTGAGCACAATGAGATTCAGTCTCTTAGCTTTCATTGCTCTATACCAAATGTTGTTGGGAGAGGATTTATTGAGGTAAATGCTATCTCATGTTTCTTGGTTAATTACTCGGTCATTGCATTCCCTCCGGTGTCTCACTCTTGTGTAAGCTGATTTCTTGTACATAAAGGATGAATACAAACTACTAATACGTTCTACTATCATATCTTTTCACAATATGTACCAATGTATTGCGATCTAGTTCTTTTGGTGTCCAAATAAATTTGGGTAAGGGTTGTCTTTTAATATCTTGCGATCCCAATCTGATGCCTGCAACGTTTGAAGCTTTCCTACTTGGAATTAGAAATTGGTGCTGACACAAATATTACTTTAGTTCTGGTTTTAAATGATTTGGTTGGTTGTATGTTGGCATTATTGTCCATCAATAGGCTACTTTACCCTGACTTCATTTTATCACAAGTACCAGTGTTGGATATTTGGCACTTGGATATGGGTGTGGAATCCATTTATTGCACTTCTTTACAGTTGAATGTGATGTTATCTTGAACCCTGAATTAGTAGAGAAACAAATTAAGAAAGTGGGACAGGGGACATCAAGATAGGTGCATGATATGCTTGCTTCAATTTGAGATCAAAATTATGTATACTCATAACTCATTTGCAAACAAGTGAAATAATCTGACATAATTGTGTTTGTTTCTGCTTTAAAACTTGACATGAAAGGTGATTGCCAAAGACTTCTAGGATTTGGAATATAATAAAAAGTGACATGAATGATGTGTTAACCTCGTATATTCAGTTATTAGATTAAGTATTCTTACCCTGAATTTTGAGCCATGTGTTTAAGACATTCAGATATGTACTTAGGTACACACAGTTTCTACTTGGTAATTCAGAGTTTTAGAAATTTAGAGTAATCTGTTCAATGTGTCTGGATTAGCCTGTTACTTTTTGTCCCCTGAGATACTTCTGGTAATTATTTTCATGCAGGTGGAAGATTATGGCCTCAGTGGTTGCTTCTTTCCATTTATAGTTGCAGAGCCTGAAATTTGTTCTGAGATTTGCATGCTTGAAAGAGTAATGGAGATTGCTGGTACAGATGAGGGTATTGAAAGAAGGAACGATGCCTTAGAGTTTATACATGAGATGGGTTGGCTGCTACATACGAATCGTTTAAGCTCAATGTCAGGCCAAACTAATATCCACTTGGACCTCTTCCCTTTTGTACGACTAAAGTGGCTAATAGATTATTCAATAAACCATGATTGGTGTGCTGTTTTAAGAAAACTTTTGGATTTGCTGTTCAGTGGAATTGTAGATACTGGAAATCATGCTTCTGTTGAAAATGCATTGTCAGAGATTTCTCTCCTCCACACTGCCGTCCAAAGAAATAGCAGGTCAATGGTGGAATTTTTGTTAAGATACATACCCAAAAAAGTTAAAAATACAATAGGCTTGGAACAGAAGCAGTCACATTATGTACTACCCAGCAGCTTCTTATTTAGACCTGATGTTACTGGCTCCAATGGGTTGACCCCTTTGCACTTAGCTGCCAGTTGTGCTGGTTTCGAGAATATGTTAGATGCCTTGCTTGAAGATCCTGGAATGGTAATGAAATTATTGAAGCTTGCTTTGATTTATTCACTATTATTGAAGTATATTTATTAGGTAATAAATTAAGGAATTGTTAATGAAGTTCTCGTTTAATTTTGTGAATCCCCATTATTCAACCTTCTCTTCATTCATTATCATCGTTACGTGTTACCATCTAAAGATGTGAGTATGAGCGGAAATGAAAATATGTGTTGATTGGAAGTGTTGCAATATCATCGAAATTACCTTGATCATTGATAATTGGACATTTCATGTAAGAATTGCTCTAATATATTTCATCACCATTCTAAATACCAAATAAGCTGTGTGGGTTTGTGGCTTTATAAATAGTGATTGTGTTTACTAATGATCATTCTCGATTCTAATATGTTTCTCTTGTTTAGGTTGGTATTGGAGCTTGGGAAAACGCCCGAGACAGCACAGGATTGACCCCGAAAGATTATGCGTACCTTAGAGGTCATAACCATTACATTGATCTATTCCAGAGTAAAGTTAACAAAAATTCATCTGGCAAACATGTAGTTGTGGATATCCTTGGACTCTCTAACTTAGAATACAAGCAAAAGCCGTCTGATGAACTCAAACTTGCAAAGTTCAATAGCTTATACACTGAGAAGCGGCAAATCAGTCAAAACTGCAAACTTTGCGAGCAGAGGCCAAATTATGGATTCAGAGGAACATCACTGACATGTAGGCCAGTAGTGATGTCTCTTGTTACCATTGCTGTAGTTTGTGTTTGTACAGCTCTGCTTTTCAAGAGTATGCCTCGAGTTTGTTATGTCTTCGTGCCATTCAGGTGGGACTCGCTGAAATATGGAGCAATGTAGTTTTACTTACATTCGGCTGTATAGTGTTAAAGAGGTTTGTGAAAAAAAGTTAGGAGTGGGAGACTGGCTGTTTCTAAAAAAGAGGGTGTAGCTGACTAATTAGTAGTTTGTTCAGATATTTTCTTGTATGAGCATTACACTCCTTGTACATGTAATCTTATCTTTCGCCCTGCATTTATAAAGTGAAGATAGAATTCAAACGTCTAATTAACCAAAAAGTGTAATGTAAAAGACAATTATTTATAAATGAACTGTTGCCTACTTGCCTAGTCGTAATAGCTCTTTGGATCTTGCTTCAGTTGTTATTTTGTTGGTTCAGTTGAATAGGAGATTGATTCAGAGTTTCAGACTGAATGATTTTCGTAGAAAAGAGAAGAGACGAGGCTGAGAAGCTCACTGTAATAGTTGATGTGTTGGTTCAATATTGTTTGAATTGGTTGAAGAGATCAATACAAGCTTAGAGTTCGGCTTTGTCTGGGATTTGATCATGGAACTGGCATACAAAAAATTGGAGAAAATGAGTTTAAACCTCAATCTCCACATATCCTACCCTAGACATTCTCCCTCTAACTCTCTCCATGTTCCCCCTCACATCACGTCTTCAACCATTGCCACTGATTATTGTCATCAAAATTCAAAACTAGCTAATACCGTCATAAATTCTTCAATCATTGTTCTCGTTAGATTTAAAACTGGAAATAAATTGATCCGATTTGAACTTGACTAAAACTGTACCAATTGAACCTAACAAAGAAAAAGTTTCAAAAGCCCATGAAAAGTTATTTATTGATTGTACATAAAAATTGAGAAACTGAGACCATTCAACTAAAATATTCCAAATTACACATAAACTTATAAGGCTAATCAATCCCATAAAAATTGACAGAAGCTAAATGAAACATCATAAAAGTTTACGACATAATGTACCACTGACATCTCGTTTTGTTCTAAGGGCATGTTCAACAACTACTTTTGATTAGCTTTTAGTGTTTTAACCAAGCCAAAACATTACTTAACTCATGTAATATCGTTTGAAAAAGTAGTGGTAGAGGATAGCTTTTAGAATGTTGTTTGTCAAAAGCTACCAAATTCACCTTAAAATTACCATTATTAAAATTTATCTTACAGTTTCAACCACACATACTAATTTTAACAATAGCTGAAAATTAACATTTGCTCTCTTAACTATCATCAACTCACATCTGGATTGCTATTCGTCGCTCGCTTTTTACCGGGCATCGCTCGCAAATTAAAGTGATTTTACCATTTTGCCCTTTGCTCGATTTTTTCAATTTAAGGATGCCCCGACTTGTTGTAATGAAACACGAGCTTCCTCAAAACAGTACCGAGCATTATATTTCTTAGTTTTCTTTTAAAAAAACCCCGAGCCTCAAAATTCCCGAGCGATTTCACTTGAAATCGAATTTTGTTTTTCACAATTGTTTTCCGTTCATTAATCTCTGGGTTGAATATGTGGAACGACGCCAACGCTCGCACACCGGAGGCATCGTCGGAAGATTCCATAAGTTTGCAAAAAAATTTTAATTCTGTTCGAAGGACATCCGCTTGAAAATTCCGGATCCTCCATGGAAGATCCGGAAATTCCAGGCGGATCTAGACATCCGCCTGGAATTTCCGAATCTTCCATGGAGGATCCGGATTTTTCAGGCGGATGTCCTTAATAACCGTTTTTTTTTTTTTGCTTTTTTCGTTTTAATAGTAATATTAGTGTTGTTAATGGTAGTTTTGTTATTATTATTATTAGTGTTGTTATAAAGAAATTATTATTATGGTTGTTATTATTAATGTTGTAATTATTATTAATATTAGTATTAGTGTTGTTATTATTATTATTATTATTATTATTATTATTATTATTATTATTATTATTATTATTATTATTATTAGTGTTGTTATTTTTTTTAGAATTGTTATGATTATTGTTATTATTTTTATGGTTATTTTTATTATTGTTGTTATGATTATTGTTGTTATGGTTATTGTTATTATTTTTATGGTTATTTTTATTATTGTTGTTATGATTATTTATAGGGCTTTTTCATTTTTACCACCTTCAAATAATGACTTTGTCGAATTTACCACCTCCAAAAAAAAACATTTACTTTACCACCTCATAAAAAAATTAAACATCAGTTTTACCACCTCATCTGAGCTCAGGTGACGGAAAACGCTTGTGGGGCCCAGCATAACGGCTAGTTTTTGATTTTTTCCCAAATTTCTCTCGATTTCCCTTTTATTTAAACCTAGTTCTTCATTTGTACACCAAATTCTTGCAGATTGGAGATTAATTTTTGCGATTTTCTTCACAAATCAGTATTTTTGGGCAACCTTAACAATCCCAAACCCTCTAATTATCAAACAATCAATTGAACTCCTCGACAACAAGCATCAAATAGGTAAGCCATTGTCGTTAATTCTCTAGCAATTTTCGTGATTTCTGTTGTAATTTTTTGGCAATTCGTTGCGTGATTATGTTGCATTTGCTAAGAGTAATTGAAATTGGGCGTTTTGTGAGGTCAATTAAACCCCAATTTGAATTAAAATACTTAGGATTCATGTTAGATTAAATTAGATTGGGGGTTTTTGTTATGTGAATTGGCTACTGAAATTAGAGTTATATTATGGTGATTGTGTTCAAATACAATTAATTTCATTCTTGTTCTTACTGAATTTCAGAAGGGAATGTCTTCAGTTAGCATGTCACCCTCAAAGGAGAAAAAATGCCAATGTGGAGTTCCAATGTCTAGGCTGACTGCTTGGACTAGGGAGAACCCAGGACGCAAGTTTAGGACCTGCAAATTCTATGATCCTGTGACTGAGTCAAGGGGGTGTAAAGCTTTTGAGTGGGTGGATCAACCAGATGGAACACCTTGGCAAACAGAGGTGATTAACAACTTGCTGCTGGACAAGAAACTAATGAAGGGAGAGCTGAATGACATGAAGAGGGAAGTTGATGATGTTAGTGGACAAAGGAGGTGCTTGCTCAATGAGATTGACAGCTTGAAGATGAAATGCAAAGCTCTTAGCTCAGACAGGAAGAAGATGATCAAGGAAGTGCATGGCAGCAATGCAACAACAAAGAAAATGCTCACAGTACATGCTATTGTTGTGTTTTGTTGTTTTGGTTTGGTACTGGCTATGTATTTTAGATCTTAGGTTCATTTAGGAATGCTTAGAAACAAAAAAAATCCCCAACTTATGTTGTGTTTTGTTGAATTATTATGTGTGGATGTTGGGATGACATTTCTTGTACTACTTTTAACAAAATAAATGAGAAATGGAACTTTTTGGTAGAAACATATCACAATTCGTATTAGTACTTGCAACACAATGTTTGAAATTGTTTTACATTGGCTGAGACAAAAGTTAAGGCACCTTTGTGCAAAATCATTGTTCAACTATCATTGTTCAACTACCAAATAAACTTGGTTGTCTATTACAAAATACTAATGAGTAGACCTAGGGTCACAGTTGATTGAGATCCTTGTCCTTCTTGCTTGTCATTACATGAAGCTTGGACCTGGTCTGTATTTTGACTTTGGGAGGAGTAGTTGTTGGCACTCTTGTGGGCTGACTCAGGCTCCTGTTGCTCCTGGTAACAGGCTGAGTTGGCAAAGGCTCTGTTCTTGTTGCAGGCTAGCTTGACACAGCAGTTGCAGGTGCAGCATTACTTGACCCAGCCTGTGCTGTTGTTGGAGGCTGATATTGTGGCAACTTCAGTGCAGCCTGCAATCACAGTATGCCAAGACTCAGAAACAAAGCCACTAAATACACTCAAGTCACAAAATACACAAAATACCTGTCTTGCTGCTTTCTCTTCACTTTTCTTTCTCTGTTCCTTAAGCCAAGGATTCTGCATCTGTGGCCTCCCACCCTTTGGATTTGTTGCAGGTGGGTTAGGCTGTTCTGGTGCTGCTTCAGCCTTGCATGTTTTGGCAAAGTGGCCAAACCCACCACAGTTCTTGCATTGTTTCATCACCTTTGGCTTCTTGCCCTCAGGTGCTGCAGAAGTGCCCTCCCCTGGTTCAAGCTTTCTCTTATTTGCCTTAGGTCTTCCTGGCTGCACTTTCAGCATAGGTGGCAAAGGCTGTCTGAGCTTGACCTTTTCCCAATTCTTAGGGCCAGGCATTGGCTGTATTGGGTTCTCATATGCAGCCAAGTATGTCACCCTATAGTAATGTGGGTGCACATACAACTCAGGATCATCCCTTTTGTCCATTATGCAAGCAAATGCATGGACACAAGGTATTCCTGTCAACTCCCATCTATAACAAGTGCATTTTCTCTCTTGCAGATCCACAATGCACTGATCATCCTTGTATTTCACCTCATAAATTTCATCCCTTGAAGCTGTAACCTCACATGTCATGGCATACTTCTCCAACCCATCAAAGACTTTGTTGACAAATGGGGTTAGTAAACCTTCCCAAGACTTTGCTGCCTCCTATTTGTCATTACTCCTCTTCATCATATATCTTCTAAGCCATTCCATTTGAGTTAGAATAGGCTTGTCTTTGGCATCTCTAATCACTGCATTAAATGTCTCACACATGTTGTTTAACAACATGTTAGACTTGCAGTTTGTAGAGAAAGCATGCCTTGACCAGTGCTCGGGGTCAATGTTTGACAACCACTGGTATGCTTCTTCATCCAAAAAATTGATACTTTCCATAGCAACTTCAAACTCAAACTGATACAACCACACACATGACAACCATTCAACACAACATAGACACATGGCATACAGTTTTCACAAAATAGAAAGACATGTAAATATGTGCAAAACTAAATGTTCCTAGCATACATTATAGCTCACCATAAAACTGACATAAAAGAACCTAAATAGAAGCTTACCAGAGTGCTTGCCCTAGCAGCAGCCCAGAACAATTCCTTGAAAGTTGCACCATGAAATTTCAGTTTGAAATTTGACCAAATATGCCTCACACAAAATTTGAGCTCAGCTTTGGGGGCCACATCTGCAAATGCTTCTATGAGACCCTACACACAAGGCAAAACTAACAAGTTAGTGTACAGAAAATTCAAATAAAGCAAAGTAATTTAAACACAAACACAACCCACTTACTTTCTGTCTGTCAGACATAAAAGTCAAGCCATCTCCTTGGTCATACACACAAAGTGCCTTGAGCAAGCTCTCCAGAAACCAGCACCAGCTGTCCTTGTTCTCAATCTCTGCAGTTGCCCAAGCAATTGGGAAGATGGAATTATTGCCATCTTTTCCAACTGCAACCAAGATCTGCCCAGGGTATGCCCCTTTTAGATGGCACCCATCCACCCCAATTACTGGTCTGCAACCAGAAATGAATCCATCCCTAAGTGCAACTAAGCACACAAACATCCTCATAAAAATTGGTCTTTCAATTTGATTAATATCATCCACCACCACATTACACTCACTCCCTGGGTTCCATTTCAGCAGTGCCTTCCCATAGTCCCAAACCTTTGAGTATTGCTCTGATGAAGAGCCATATATTATAAGCTTTGCCCTGCTTCTAGCCAACCAAGCCTTGGAGTATGTAATTTTGATCCCCAAGTCATTCAAGGCCCTGTCCTGAATCTGTTTAATCTTCCATCTGGGGTTGCCCCTGAACTCCTCCAAGTACCTGTCAGCAAGGAACTCTGCTGTCACCTTGTTGTTCATTTTACTCCTAACACACCTATGCTTCAGCCTTAGTGTCTTAATTTGCCAAGCCTCTGATTTCACAAGCCTTGTTGCATAAAACTTGAACCTACACCTAACACCCTTACTACATGTACACTTCACTATCCTACAACTGTTCTTGTTATACACACACTTGCATTTCCTTTTGCAATATGCTGTTAGCCTCTTTGAATCATTGTGAAGAAGGTAATACTCATACCTATTTTCAATTGCATGTTGTCTCAAAGCTTTTCTCATTGTTTGCACATCACTGAACCTTTGACCAACTACAAATTTGATAGCCCTTTCAAAGTCTGTCTCAGGGTTAAACCAAGTAACACTACCCTGATCATCATCTGAATCACCTTCCACACTCTTTAGCTCATCAGAATCACAAGTTGCCTCCTCTTCAACCCTCACTTCAATTTTCTGTAGATTTCTTTCTATGTCAAACCCTGTGTCCTCATCATCACTTTGATCCCCTCCTTCAGTAACTCCCCTCAAACTGCCTTTCACCTCACTGTTAATATGGTCTACATTTTTCTTCAACCACTGTTCATCATCATCAGAGTATAAGTCCTCCTCTCCCTCATCAACTTCTAACTCAAAATCACTCAACTCAGAATCAGAAGACTCTGTATCACCATCCTCATCACTAAACACATCACTGTCATCCCTTAAGCTCCTCACTCTTTCTTTTATTTTTCTCACTAAATTAGCAAAATTTCCAGTCTCATCCCCAACCTTAGCCTTACCCTTATCTGCAGCAGTGAGTTTACCCTTCCCTTTATGTGTATTAGCATTCACTTTCTCTGCCCTAGGAAGCCTCTCCTCAGCCTCTCTGTCATGTATAACAATGCCTTTTAACCTAGGGCTTCTCCTAAATGGCTCTTCTTCAGTGGGCTTACTAAGTTCTGGGCTGGGTTTGTATACTTTAGGCCCACCAAACCTCTTTTTCAGTTCCTTCCTTTGTGCAGGGGTTAGCTCATTCCCAGATATACATTTGAAGGGTGTTTTGTTAGTCCCTTCAATTGGCTCATGACTGGTAACATACATCTCACATGCCCCCTCTTTGTTCACCGACTCTAGGAAACCATTCACCTCACCATCAACAAGCTCCCTTTTACCATTCACCCAAGACTTGCCCTTTTGTTTATACCAGCAACTATACCCCCTAGGAACCTTCACATTCACATACACAAACCCATGTATAGCTGCTTGCCTCAAAAAGTGTACATCTATCTTATTTTTTTCCACCTTTCTCATCCAATAAACCCACCCACCATCCCAAGTTAACACCCTCCTATTTTTACCAGCTAAAGAAGGTATAAAGGCACCCCCTACTGTAATTTTTAAGTCCACTGTGTCCATTCTGTAACAACACCAACAAAAGCACACACAACAATAACCAATTTCAGTAATTACAGTAAACAACAAAAACCAATTCACCAATTACAGCAAGTAAAAGCAATTCACATTGACTATGCACTAAATTAACAGTAACCAAGTAAATCTAATTAACTAATTATTTAACAAATGCACACTCTAATTCAGTCAAAGATTCGCATAATTAGGGTTTATAATACTTTAATTCACAGATTCCCCAAAAAGGCATACTTTACCCCAATTGACAACCATAAATCCAACGAAATGTACTAATAAAGGGTTTAAAGTACCTCTTGTAGTCAGGAATCTCGATTTCTGTCAGCAAATTACCAAGCTTTTGGTCCCCTCACCCTGTGGAAGATGACAAGAGAAGCTGATGTGTTGCAATTTTGTGGTTCCTGCTCGATTTCAACCACCCAAATTGATCTAGGGTTTCAGTTTTTACAGAGAGAAAGAGAAAATTCAAAGGAGAGAGAAGCAGTTACAATGAGAATCAAGAAAAATCAAAGGAAAGAGAGACGAAAATTGATGAGGAAGTGAAAATTTGGTGAGGCATTGATTATGGAAGGTGGAAGGTGAGAAAAGGAGGAGACAGAGGGAAATCGATTTTAAAAGAATTAAATTGGAGGGAAGTGACAGTTAACTGGGCCCCACAAGCGTTTTCGGTCACCTGAGCTCAGATGAGGTGGTAAAACTGATGTTTAATTTTTTTATGAGGTGGTAAAGTAAATGTTTTTTTTTGGAGGTGGTAAATTCGACAAAGTCATTATTTGAAGGTGGTAAAAATGAAAATACCCTTATTTATATTATTGGTTTTTTTTATCATTACAGGGTTCGGAGTACGAAGACGGCGCCGAATGTGTGAACTATAGTGAGCATTTTGTCACGGACACGGTTTTTCCAACTTTCGATGATGCCGTTAACTGGGCGGATGCTGTTGCCCTAAATCTGGGATTTGTTCTTGTTATATCGTCTAATTGCAAAATCAGAGATGGTCGGCCTTACCGGTATTTGAGGTGTGATAGGGGCCGAAAAAGCCAGCCGAGGGATCTCGAGAACGCAAATCGGAGGGACACAAAAACCAAAGCTATTGGTTGTCCGTTCTACATCAAGATTTACTATGTGTTCGTGACCGATAGTTGGAGGATCCGGGCAAAAAACGATGCAACTAGGACCCATAATCACCCAATGATTGTATATCCGGAGGGTCATCGTAAGATTAGTGGCCTCAGCCCGGATGGGAAGAAGGTTGTCCACGACATGACGAAGTCGAAGGTTGCGCCGCGTAACATCATGGCGACGATTGCAGAGCAATTTCCCAACGATCATCCAAACATCCGACATATCTACAATTACCGGAATGACTTGAGGGCGGAGATGTTCGACGGGAGAGGAGGCGTTCAACAATTTTTGCATTTGGCGAGACAAAGCCAATACCTTTACTGGGTCATGTCTGATGATGTCGGCGTTCTGCAACATGCGTTTATGGTGCACCCGATCACGGTGAACATACTACGCACGTACCCACATGTGATGGGTATGGATTCGACGTACAAGACCAACCGATACGGGATGCCGTTCCTTGAGATAGTTGGGGTGACACCCACAAATCAGAATTTCCTTGTGGGTTATGTGTTCATGCGCAACGAGTGCACGGGAAGCTACCGGTGGGTTCTACAGAGATTGAGAGAGCTGATCAGGTATGATAAGGAGCCGTCGGTATTTCTGACAGACCGTGAGCTGGGTCTTTGTGCTGCATTGAGAGAAGTGTTTCCCGGGACGTCGCATTTGCTTTGTCGATGGCACATTAACAAAGATATGGAGGCTCGGGTCACTAATATGTTCAAGAACAAGAAGATTGGGAGGCAATTCAAAAACGGTGCTTGGAAACGTATCATGGATGCTGCGACCGAGGCGCATTATAACTCAGCTGTAGATAGAATGAAAACTCGGTGGGCAAGTTTCCCAAATGTGATTAGTTATGTCGAGAGAACCTGGCTTTGTCATAAGATCAAATTTGTGACGTTTGGGACGAACCAGGTTATGCACCTCGGTAACACGAGCACTTGCAGAGTTGAGAGTCAACATTCGGCCGTTAAGATGTGGTTTGAATCCTCGACAGGTTTGTTTTTTGAATTTCATAGTTGTCGCATTTGCTTCGTCGTAGTTCTAATATTGGTAAATCCTAACGATTTTGTTTATAATGTTGATCATTGGCAGGTTCTTTGGATACCGTATGGGCCTGAGTACATTGTCATATTGCCATTCGTAATTCTTTGGAGGTGTCAAGGTCGAAGATTGGTGAGATGTACAGACAGTTGCCACTGTCTCGTATTAACAGCAGGGTGTCTCACCATCGTTTGAAAGTTCTGGATGGCGAGATGAGAAGGATGAGAGAGCTGAGTTACCAGGTGCATGAGCGCTGTGGATGTGCAATGCTTGTGACCCATGGTTTTCCTTGTGCTTGCTAGATACATGAATCGCTGGTTGCCGAAACAGGCTTGTACACAAGGCAAATTCATCCGTTCTGGAAGACGTTGGTTATTGGCGATAGTGTTAATGAACCGGAGTTTGTTAACGACTCGAACGAGGAAGCTGCACATTTCCGTTCCCTGGTTGATGAGGTCGTCGGTAGTGATCGTGCTGTGCTTAGAAATGTGTCTCGCATCATCGAGGAGGAGCTGCATCCGGACCATACAAACCTCGAAGAACCACAAGTAAACCTCAATGTTCGAGGTCGCCGAAGAAACAACGACACCAAATGTAATCTCAGTTACTTCGAACATGTGGATCGTCGAAACACTGAAGTTGGTGCGCAACAACCAGGTACGACTTGCTATTAATTTTGTGATTTACACGTACTTTAACTTGTAACGTACTAATAATGAAAACATAAAATTTTGTGCAGGAACAGAAGATCAAGGTGACATCAGCCAATGCAGGTATTTGCACTTGCTTCCAGGACCGATGTTGCCTTACATCACGGCATGGAAGGATGTCATTGGCGATGGTAACTGTGGATTTCGTTGTGTGGCCGACTTCTTCCTCGGTGATCAAGCGCGCTGGTATGATGCTTGGGAAATTATAGCGAACGAGGTCGGCGCTCACCGAAACTTGTACGAAAGGATATACGGGTTAGGAAGGGTGTTACTGAATGTGGAACGTATCCGATGGGAAGGCGGGGTTGTTGATTCACGGCACTGGATGGTTGCAATTCAAGATTTATTTCCTATTGCTACTTGATTCAACGCAATGGTTATTATTCTGGGTGTCGGTACCGTACCGACCTGGTATTACCATTGCCTCACTATCTTACCGCCGCGTGCACTGAACACGGTCAGAGCACCCGCCCGGGAATTTGCGATCGCTATTGTTGAGGATTCCCACTTCATCTGTCTTGAGCTTGCAAAGAACTCACCTCTTCCCCCGATCGCAAGATGGTGGATACAGAACCACGAGCCTAGTGTTCATGGATGGGATCAGCAATATCAGGCTCGAAGGAACATGTGGGATGCACTATTTAGCTGAAAAGATCTATGTACTTACGTTCAACAGATGTATGTACTTATATTAACCAGATTTATGTACTTACGTTGAACAGATTTATGTACTTATGTTAACCAGATTTATGTACTTACGTTGAACAAATTTATGTACTTATGTTAACCAGATTTATGTACTTACGTTGAACAGATTTATGTACTTATGTTAACCAGATTTATGTACTTACGTTGAACAACTTTATGTAATTATGATAAGAAGATTTATGAACTTATGTTGAAGAGTTGCCACTATGTAACATAAAACAATAAATAAAAGTAATGATACAAAAATTCAACAAAAAAAATTGGTTCAACAAAATAACAACAAAATCCAACAAAGTGTCATCACAATCCAAAAAATAAAATAAAAATAGTTACAGTCCCAAATACAAAGGAAAACAAAGACAAGTGTCATCACAACCCCATCATCGTCTTCCAGTCTTCTACCAGCTGCTCAGCCATTGCCCTGGTGTCACGCGTCATGCTACCAGGCTCATCCAGTGACCGACATATAACCTCCATCGACCGACCCATCCGCTGCAAATAAGAAAAGAACACAGTAAGTATATAAACCACAATTGTATATATGACATTTAAAGTATAATAAAACACAAGTGCTTACATAGTCCGTGTTAGTCCTCTCTGGAAGTCGGTGACCTCTATCAGATGACGACCCACCCGGAGAAATACGAGGATGGGAAAGTTGATACAGCTACTGCATGTAACCAGGAGCGACCGTAGGACCTCCACCGCCGAGTCTAGTCAAGGCACTTAGAACAACACTGAACGACGACCCAGGGACAAACCGAGACCACATCACCGATGTCATCTCGGTTGGAAACTCAACCCGATACATCTTCAAGTTCGTCGGTCTCTTAGCCTTCTCAGGTCTGATAATAGTCCTCGGAATGTCCTGGACAAACCCCAGTTGCCGGATCACTCGATCAGACATGTATGGCTCAATGATAGATCGATACTGGAGGCAGCCAATAAACAAGGTGGCGGGCACGCGTCGTGCAGCATCAACTCCATAGGGGAGCCAGTTGACCTCATTGTCGGTCAACTGATCTAACCTAGACCGAAAGGCGAGGAGGCGATCCATGCTCTTGTTGGGGCATCCTGCTCCCACATCCCAGGCAGACGCGCGCGAAACACTGAGCTCCCTAGTAAAGATACCCTGCTGAGGCCGGAAGCACGGAAAGTACTCGTAGATCCACGCCTAAAAAAGCGTGAGACAACCGGCGATCGAATCGGCATCTTTTCTAGATGTCGTACCCAACTGCCGATACAAATACGCTAGATTCGCTGAGCCCCAAAGAGTAGTCAGTCACCGACATCTCATCAACAACAAGCTCGCTGAGGAGGGACGGATGCGTACGGTTACCACTCTTGTCCGAGAATAGACAACCGCCAAGTAGTAACCACATGTTCGCAGTATAATGGACACTGAAGGGCCTCTACGCCTCCAAGGTCGACTTTAAAATCTTCTCGGTCAGTACCCCACTACCCTGCCAAATGGTCTTCGTACCGTGCTTCTCGTTCAGCTCTCTGCTATCATGTCCAGGGTAACCGAGATACGGGTCCCGTAGGATGTCTGTGCCCGGAGTAGCAGATACCAGGCCACCATCTACACGAAGCCCTAGAATGTTGTACACATCGTGTAGCATGATGGTGATCTCCTCGAATGGCATATGAAATGTGTTCGTATCAGGCTGCCATCTCTCAACAAAAGCTGATATCAATGGCCAGTCAAAACCCCTGAACATGATCCCAGGCAGGTGCGACAGACCACTATCGTCAATCAGCTCCAGATGCTCCTGCGCAAGACGACCTCGCCAGGTGACCAATTCAGAACACAACTGTGTCCTGCTCAAACAGCGCAAAACATTACGCTCCTGCCCGCCCCATATATACGCAGCCACGTGCCCCCCAAAACTAGGGATAACGGTCCTGTCCTCAAGACCACCTGGCATCGGCCCGTGCACTACCCATGCCTTTGCTGCGCTGGTGGAAGGCTGACTGGTTTGACTACTGCTCACAAACCTCCCAGTCTGACCCCTATACACCGTATGATAATCCAGAGGGTCATACTCTGAATCGCGGTCACCCTGACTTGACCGCCCGTCGTCCTCATCATCAGATGTAGGCACTCCACCTGACGAGTACATGGGGAGGCTGCTTTGTGGCTGATGCTCCCCCGACCAGTTACCAGCGGACCCATATTGTTGCTTGTGATCAAACGGTTCGGCCGTATTTCCTAAACGGCTTGAGTCCCGCCTAACTGACGCATTCAAATGTCTAGATATTGCGTGACGAGATTCCGAACCCTCAATCTATAGCAAATACGTACAAAATCAACAAAATCACAAACAAAAATAATATACACAACCCAAAAAAAAAAAACATTAAAAACATAAATAACCCTAAAACAAAAAACAATAATAAATGACAAACAACAATAAAACACACAAACAATAAAAAAGAACCACAAACAAAAACAAATTACACAAACAAAAAATTACTCGCAAAAAAAATACAAAAATACCAACCTACAATAAAAACAAAATTTCACAAACAAAAATACCAACATCACTACTAAAATATTTCGCTAAAAACCCACTAATAATCCTAATTACAAAGCCTAAATTTAATAATAACAATACTAATAACAATAATAATTATAATGACATTATAATGACAACAAATAACAACAACATCAGCAACAACAACAACAACCACAACAACAGCAACAACAACAACAAAAAAATTTAAAAACAACGACAACACCAACAAGAAATTTAATAAACAACAACATCAAATTAAATTCTGGAATTATAAAAATGAATAACAAATAACCGAGAAAAAAAACAACAAAAAATAAAAAAAAAAATCTGGAAAACAGGGACATCCGCCTGAAATTTCCGGATGTCCCATGTCCCTGTTTTCCAGAAAAAAAATTAAAAAAAAAACGACGTTTACCTGCTCGCCGCCGCCGCCGCCGCTACCGTTGCCACGACCGCCGTACGTCAGCCGAATCCGCCGCCCGTCAGCCATTGCAGTGCTTTCGGATTGTTGTTGGTTTGTTGTTTTTTTGGGTTTTGATTTTTAAAATTTCACAAACTATTTTTTTCCAAAAATTAAAAAAACAAAATTTTGAATTATGATTTTTTGAGAAAGAATAGGAATTTTAGAGAGATAAATACGAGCGTCAAATGTGAAGTCCGTGAGTTTCGTGACTATTTATAAGCAAGGGGCAAATTAGGAAAAAATTGCACAAAAAGCGAGCGACGGGTGGTAAATTGCGAGCGACGAATAACAACACCCACTCACATAGGTATTATCTATTACAACAACTAATTTTGCCGAACACACTCTAATTGTCAAATGATGACAGCACGCTCTAAATTCCAAAAATTTTAAATAATAATAATAATAAACTTATATTGTTGTTTGATTTATATAAAAAGACATGGGAATTGGGAGTTCTTAGAAATTGCAAAATGAATAAGGTGTTTGGTTGAATAAAATTTGGTGAAATGGGAAAATAGAACTTCCTACGAAGTAGGAATTTTCAATAGCCACAAAATATAGGAATTTACTCATCTAGTATCCTTAGATAAGTTGAAATTTCTATGAGAATTTACTTCCTTCGTGACCAGTCAAACAACTTTAAAAAAATCTATAAATTTGATTACAGGCTTTAGCCTTTAATTCGCATAAATTAAAGGAAATTTTGACTTTTGCTACCACAAAAAGTCTTGACTTTCACTTTTGCTACCTCTAAATTTTTTTTATTTTTTTTACTACCACTTAAATTCACTGTTGTTAAAATTAGCTACCAGAAAACGAAAACTGTTACATTTGCCGTTTGTGGGCCCCACTATAACTACCCAACGTTCCTTTGCTCTCGTCTTCTCTCTCCTAGAACCCTTTGCTCTATCTTCTCTCTCCTAGAACCCTTTCTCTGTCTTCTCTCTCCTACAACCCTCCATTGAATGCTCTCAACAACCTTTCTGAATTCACCATCTCCATTGAAGTGTATTTTACTATCACTACAGGTCACCATCTCCATCTCTAACATTTCTGAATTCTGCAAATTGAAGCGCGTGGAAGGTCTTAGTGAAGCTGGTGCGAGGAAGCGTCATCTGCATTGTGGGAAGTTGAAGAGTTGCCTGAAAACGACTGTTGGAAGGTACGCTAATTATTCACTGTAACTAAATCAATTCAATAAAGCAAAAAAAGCATTCTTATTGTATTCCCATACTGATTAGGGGATTTTTCTCCCACCAATCGGAATGCGCCACGTGGGCCAATCAGGACCTGCCAAGTGTCCCCTAGTTGGAACTGTCAGGGCTTGCCACGTGGCACGCGCTTATTCGTCCACCTTGGACCTGTTATGTCACGACATGTGGCATACTCCATGCCTAATGGAGAAACCGGCCACCCAGGCCCAACTTCCGAGGGAAGCCCAATCGGCCCTAGGTTAACCTAAACCTAGGATGGGCACGTTTTCCAAGGTTATAAATACCTCCCTTAATCCTCATTAAGGGGGAACACAGAAACATTGCGGAAAAAACACATTAATTACACACAGTAATAACCGGCTGATCTCGCTAACAAAGCAGATTACCTACGTTAATCACTCTCACCTAGAGAGACCTAATCACTTTAATTTCCGCATTAATTACTCCTTAATCAAGT